ATATAAAAATTGCAATTCTCTTCATTTAAATGAAGCTATTAAATGATGAAAATGTTTATAATATTTTTAATTATATAATTTTTTTGTTTTCCTAGATCTATTAATACATTATATCTGCATAAAACTGTGAAATATTGATGATTATCAGTAATGCAATATGTTAAGTAAAATTTTTTAAATATTGCTCACAATGTGTGTTACTTTTAAAAACAAACAAGACAAAGGCTTTAATTGAAACAAGTTCTCCATTTATTATTATTTATATTTTTAACTAAAAAACTGAACTTGTCCACTGACCTCAAACAGTTTCCATTAATTTATGAATGACCAGTTCTGATATGTGGAATGACTCTAAAAGGGTTGCTAGCGACTGGTTTGGGAACCTGATTTAAGCAATACTTTCCTTGTTTACATTTTAAGTATTTTGTATGCAGCTAAGAAAGATTTCAAGACCAAGTTTTTTGTGTTGGATCCAATAATTACATGGATATGTGATGTGTGTTTGTACTTTTAAAGAACTACTAAAAAAATATTTGCTTTAATGGCATTTTTAAACATTCTACTGAATGCTTAAAATATTTTTCTAAACATCTAAAGATGGATGCAAATCCAAAAGTGTTTCAACTTGTAATTTTTATGTTCTATTTTGATTTATGCTCCATTAAAGCAAATACTTTTCCTGTATTTTAAATTTATGGAGTTTTCTAACTATATATTTGCTTTATCCAAAATTACAAAATACAGAGATAATCATAAATAAAATGTTTCATCTTCATCAATTGCTTGACCGAACCATTCCATGGCCATGTGATACTCTGATTATCAAAGATATGAAAAATCAGCAGAATGGTTTACACATTTGTTAGCAGTCTTAGAAGAGAAGAATAATAATCAGAGTAAACATCACGTGACACAGAGATAATCCATAAGTAAATGCACACCCTAAATATGTGTGGGCAATATTAACTCCAAAATATACTGCCATATTGGAGAAGTGGACATTCTTCAGTGGATCAATGGATAAAACATCCACCCTGTTCATGGAGCTTCATCACACTGCCATAATGACCTGGAAGGAGTGGCAATACAAAACATCCATAAACTACTGTGGGTCACCCAATAAAAATCCCATCCTACACATCCAGAATCTGTTGGATTGTGCTGTGATGATATTCATAAAAACCTGCTACCCATGGAGAACTTTTAGGTTGTTTGCCTGCCAAGCAGACTAACATTCCACAGACCAATTTAGCAGAGATCATTAATTCCATGCCTGACTGGGTTAAGGCTTTGAAGAAAGATAGTGGTTGGACAACTACAGTAGGATTAATATATGCATACTAAAAACCTACAGTATGTGTCTATTTACTTATTGGTAGTCTCTGTAGTTTATGCACAATCTAAAAGCCAAACTGTGTATAAATTTGTCACTTAGCTAATTTTTAAACAATGAAACTAACAATTTAATTACAAATTAAACAATCGTGAAAATGAAAAAAAAAACACTCCTAAATATTTTGAAGATAATGTAACAAAAAGACTTCTAAAATATATTTTTAATTCACTATTTGTTAACTACTATTCTTTTCTCTAGTATTAATGATAAAATGAAACGAATAACAACTCTATAAATAATTATTACGCATGCAATTCTAAAATATGGTGAATCTAAATAAAGATAAAAAAAATAAATAAATTGTAATTATAATACATCCTTGCTGTGCAGAACATTATTATTAATATTATTGCTAATCAAAATTCATAGTAATCAAATGTGCATTAGTAAAGTCTCATTAAAACAAATAATATCTGTGCCAAAGCTAAGTTTAACTAACGCCTTGGAACAGTTCCCATCCATTTATACTATGAGATCTAGAATGTGTCAGGAGTGTAAAATAAAAAACAAAGCATTTACAATTAAATCCTGAATGTGTCATGAATGTCTCCCAAAAATAAGAAAATAATTACATATTACTCATTCATTCTATAATCCTTATTTTATTATAATAAACTTTCAAAATATTTCTCAATACTTAATTTTAATATATTTTATTATCCACTTGTAAAATATAACATAATTTTATTTATTTTGCTTCTCATATGCATTTTGAATGTTTCTTAATACAAACTTTAATGTAAGAATTACTTTAAAATCTTTACTGGATATATAACAGAATATTAGAGCTCATACAGGTAGAGGGAATGAGATATATGGACAAGATAATGAATAAAATGGTATTAAGAAGAGTGATAATGAACATATATGTAGGGTAACTTTCTACTCTGTCTCAAGGAAATGATATAAAAACAGATTAAAAGTAAATTTCATCAGATATATGTTGAGAGGATCTTCGAGAGAGATCAAAACTAATGAAGAAACCAGTTGAGAAGAGAATGGTTCAGGAACACAAAAAATATAGATACTGCACTAGACAAAGATAATAAAGAAAAATGTTTATTAAGAACAACCTTTATAGATTATGGCTTCATCATCACGATCACAGTCAAATTCCTAGGGTGGCCAATACTGCACTTTATAAAATAAAATTCAAATATAATTTATTATTATTTTAATATAGTGGTCGACAATGAAATAGACTGACGTTTGCATGACGACTGATGATATAACCGTGCAGATATAAATAATGCAAAGCATACATGTTAGGTTTCTGCATCAGAAAACATGCAAGTGCAAGCAACAGTTGATGGGAAATTTATCCATTCAAACAGAGAGAAATTCGTCAGTGGAATTTCATAACCACTATGATTGTTTCTTGTTTTAAATCATATAAAAAACAAAAACTTTAAGTTTGTAAACTTTTATAGTTTCCAAACCTCAGGCTTTATTTATGTTAACATCTTATGATTAAGTTTAAGGTTATACTTATATAACTCATTGTGAATGGTTGTATTAAATACCATCCATACAAGGTATTATGTTTATGCTTAATTTTTGTTGTGAATGGGCTTTTATTCCTGTACCATTAATTCTAAAGTGATAGTTATACCATTGTTTTAATTGTTAATGGAACTTTAACTAAAGAAAGAGATGAACACCATTTAAGTATTCATATTTAAATTAATTTTTATATACACATTTGTATATATTGTATTTATATACTAAATAAGAAAAGTTGTTTTAAATTAATTTCATTTTAATTTGAAAATTCTATTTTATGGTAGCAATACAATATAACTTTGAACAAAGGCATATGTTATCTACGAGACAGCTCAATTTGAATAAAATTGAAATAAATAAATATATATATCAAATATTTTTATGAATTTTTTAACACTTATCAACTATATGAAGCTGTCATAAAACATGCCAGTAGGCTCTTATGGTTATGAATTTACTCACAATCAGTATTGATAGGGGCAGCCAAATATCTGTATCATACAAGCAGTTAACAGTTTACAACCAGCCCTGATCTTAGTAATGTATTTAACTAAATGTTACTAGTAATACATTCAATCTAACTAACGGTCATTTATATATAAATAAACCTTAATCAGCTACAGAATTAACTTTAGCATGGTTTACTTATTCACATTTTACAGATTATTTTCATATCTATATCACTAAATGTCATCTATATTTATTATTTATTCTGTACTTTTCATTCCACACATTTCATTTTAATTGAAAATGATTTCTATTTAATAAAATAATAATCCTTTCTAATAGTAAAAACATCTTCATTCACGTTAAAAATTATATTACTGTACACATATTCAAAAAAATAAACCATTCAATTTTAAATCAGGATATGAAATACACAAGACACATTAATCAATTTTAAAAGAATATATTCAGGCCAAATATAAAACCATACATATAGTCACTTCTCAAAATGCATGTATATACAGGTTTTTCCCCTTGAACATCCCTAGTTTTAAACTCTTCTGTGAAATCCATTGGTTTATGTATGTAAATAAAATGTGTTGAAAAATGTCAATACTCAATTTCATGTGCATAAGCATCTACTGTGTGTGTACAATGCACATACATATATATATTGAAGAAAGATAAAGTGATTACTAAGCAGAACTAGCACAAAAGAAAGCATGGTCATGTGTATGAAAGGAGGTTGTGCAAATGAAGTTACAACACTTTTAGAAAAAAAAGAAAAAACAGACAGTGAAACAGCAAGTAACATTAAATTCCAAGACTCCCAAACTTACACTCACTCACATATAAAAAAAAAATTGAATTATGAATAAAAACTCACAAATTCTATATCGCTTTTTGTGTGTGTTAAAATTCATTAGCAAATATCTGTAGTATCAATTGAATTAATATGATAATGTATCGTACTAGATTTGAAAATAGTGAAAATTTGTTTCTGTGAGACACTTGAATTTTTAAATATCTCAATTAACGATAACATGTCGTAAGTTGTAATTAAAAACTATTATTAAGCAAATTTTATTTAGAAAATAGAACAAATCTTCAATTTCATAAATTTAATAAATTATAATTTCATAACAAGTCTATAAATGGGAAATGTGTATATTCCAGTATGCGTCAGTCTCAAACAAAACCAATGTACCGACGAACAGTTTAATAAGCTTTTACTGGAATATTTGGCAATCTAACAAGACAGCAGAAGCAATTTACACTTATCTTGACAAAATAGTAAAACTGGTGTTAATAATAAACCATAAAGGCAGTCTTATTGCTTCATCAGAGCTCTCCATATCCATAACATGATTAAAGTAATATCCATCAATTAGTGCACCAATGAACTCATAGGTGAATATAAGAAAATATATCAGTACATTGTGGTTCACCAGTATGCTGTTTGATGTATACTGGAATATACCCAATGTACAAACTCAAAACCATTACAATATTGGCTTTGTACATTTATAGATTCATTGTGCAGTTATAATTTATTAAATTTAAAGAATTAAAGATTTATTTCAGAATTAAAAAAAAATCAATAAGACAATCTTAACTGGCATATGTTATGTAAAAATCAACATCAAAATGTTACCTTCGATAAAATAATATATTCGAACAATCTTCTAATAGGCGGAGGAAAAATTTTAGCGTAAGTAAGAGCAATTTTAATGAATATAACATGGCACACTCTGTCCTGAACGTTCAAAACGGGATTGCGATTATTGCTGTTGTTTCTGTGTTGATTTCTTTCCGCACCCACCCACTGCCCATTGATCCCATGCTGGAGGATGATTGGATTATTTCTAGGCATTTGTATTTTTCAGGATCTGAAAGTAAATAAAATTTTCAATTAATTAACGCAAAACATAAAATTTAACTCCAATATTTTCAAATACTTTATTTCTAATTAAAATGTTTTAATTAATTTTAAATATTTAATATTTAAATATAATAAATATTCAGTTACAGGAAAAAAAACAGAAAAATATTTAAAAATAGAAAAAAACAATTTTCTTAAAGTAGCTTTCAAGGATATAATATTCTGTGGTAAATTTAACTTCATGTCATTAATATTATAAATAAAAAATAACTTCAAAGAATGAAACTAAAGTACAGTAATACGCCGAACTTACGCGATAGGTGGGACTGAGCGATAACCGCGTAAGTCGGGGTATAATTTCGCAATTTGTGTAAAATCCAAGTCGGATGTATGTAAGCTAATAAATGTTCTCGTTAATCTTATCTCATCTTTTGATTCATTCACGGTTACAAGAAATCACCACATAGAGTCTCTCGAGTCTCCGTAGATATAACAAACACAGAAATAAATAACACAAAATAAATTGTAGCTATGTGTCGATTCCGCGCGACACGTCCGAAGATGTAAGCTGAACAATAGTGTGGGGGGAGTGAGTAATCGAGAGTGGCGTGGCGCTCAAACAAAAGACAAATTGACAAGATTTGAAAATCGCGTAACTCCGGGTTCACATAAGTCGGGGTAGCGTAAGTCGAGGTATTACTGTATATTTTAAATTTTATTTTCAAGTTGATTTAGTTTCAGATTTTATGATACTTCACGGACAGATCATGAAACTCTGTTCCAAACTATCCACATAAATCAAAGTGTCTAATCAATTTTGAATCTAATCACTCAGTCACAAACAGAATCAACCCGCAATGGAATAACCGAAGAATTGGATTCAAATATAATCGAACCATTGCTTTATTATAAAATGTTTGCATCAGAACAACCCAATCAATAAATGAGAACGTCCAAACTTCTCACAAAAAACCAAAGGAGCTAATCAAATTTGAACACAACCCTGCATGGAAAGAGATAAATTACTGCACGGTCAAAAACTTTTTATTTTTGGAAAAAATAATCTATTTAGTTATTAAAAACTTTCAAATGCTCTACTTGTTCTCTAGGACAACTCACATTCTTAAAATATGAATACGGAATTTAGCAAAGTCAACAATTTCATAAAATCTAACAAATGTTATCAAAAACAAACAAAATTGTGAATACTTTGCAATGTTCTATATCATAGAAAATTTTATAATTTTTAGCTGTGTCATTCGTAAACAATGATAAAAATAAAATATTTTATTTCTTGAATAATACATATAAATGGCTGATATATTCCAAAACTATTTTTCCTTGATTGTTGTTACCGATGATGATAATTTATTTAATTTTCATACAAATGAAAATATTAAATATGTATGTATAAACAATTTACTTATGTGGACATACAACTTATTAAAAATAAATAATTTATGTTTCATTTTAATTATTAATTTTATCAGTAACAACAATCGAGGAAAAATAGTTTTTGCAATGTATCGGCGAAACACGATAGCCGTAATAACTTATAATTTTCTAGTAATAAAATGCATGAGTGAAAAATTGAAATGCAATAAAAATATTCACAAAATCAACCTTCTACTTTTCTGAATTTATTCTCTTTTTATTCATTTAATCTAAAGGGAACAACAGACTTTACTCTAGAAGTCTACAGAATTTATTGTATTTTAGCTGTAATTTAGATAATGAGGAAACTTCTTAAGCAGACAACTAGTGTATTGTCTGACTAATAAATCATTTCAGTAACTTTAATATTAAAAGTTCGGTCTCGGCAAAAGGTTGACGGCAGTGTTGTCTCAGCAGAATGTCCAATTTATGCGAGAATGTTAATGAGTTTAAATTGTTTTTCCTCAAAATTAAATTCCTTTAAGACAAAAAATATTATCATATTCCCTGATCAGAATTACATATTCTAAAGATTTTGCCAGCAACCACAAGATATATTCTACTTGGAAATCTATACTATAATCTTAAAACAAAAAGTTAGGCTTTAAGCTGAAAAATCATATTTTTTGGCTATAACTTTATTCAAAATAAAACTGCAGCAAATTTCAAGATTAATGTTTTTAATAATTCATTGGTACTTTCAAAATTTTTTCCTCTTTATAAGGCATAGCCTTTCTTTTGTGACAGCCATGAAAAATCTCATTCCTATCAGGTTCAGAATGACAATGGGTACATTCCAGTATGCATCGTACAGTGCGTCCATCGGTGATTCATAACGTACTAAAATGTGTTCCAATATTTATTGACAGTTCGTCATTATAGTAACTAATGTACATTGCATTCATTGGGCTATGAATACAATGAGCTCTGATGAAACAATATAGACACCTCATGGTTATATAAACATCACATTTTACCTTCCCAGCTTGTTATGTATATAATATGGGAAAGTATTGGAATTGTGTAAAATTTAACCCTCACTTTTTTAGAAATCTGCACATTTTGAGACCCCCCTAAACCCAAAGATATCAAAAATATGGAAGAAAGTTCTGTGGATTTTGTGTGTATGTCTGTTGAAGTGTTTCATTTAATGTCTCAGAATGGGATAATGATTAAGAAGGGAAATTTGGCATGTTAGCTTGTGCATAAGGAGTATTGATGCTATAAATTTTGATAGTTAAAGATTGAGGGGCTGGGGAAATAGAGGTGGGTCTACGTCATATCTCGAGTTGGGTCAGACTTTAATGACAAATTTACTTGTTATTATTAATAGAATTTACAACTTTTTATAAAATTAGTTTCTACCCTCAAAATTAAGCTTTTTACCATTTTATAATAACTAAAAATAGTTTTCTTAAAAAATATCATAATAGATAATGCCATATATAGTTTAAAATCTGTCTGGAAAGTAATGTAACTTGTTGCTGGATTTTTTATTACTTATCCTTATTAGTCCAAAGTCATTTTGATAAAATAAGTCTGCAAATGCAAATATGGCACTGTTTGCTTCTTCTGTCTTATGCTACCAGACATTCTGGTAAAAGCTTATTGAACTGCACTGGCTCGGCTGAGACTTATGCATACTGGAATGTACTGAATGAATAGGTAACAAGAGACAGGAACCAACATATACAGGTCTGATCATCCATAAAACTAAGGATCCAAATCCAAACTTAAGCCCACATCTCCAGGATTGACAGGCCGATACCTTAGTTAAAACCTGCTATCACTTTCAATTATTAATAAATTTACTCACAAAAATTCAATAATATTAACTTAACCAAACAAAAATTAGATTGTTAATCAGATCATTGCAGTGCAAGCTGTCTCGTGCATCTTTTTCAAAGAATTTGCTTTCTATTTTAAAAATATAGTTAATTAAATATTGATTGAAAAAATTTTTGAACAATTCACCCTAACCTTAACCTCGTGTCTTCAGCAATCTTATGTTGATAAACACTATTATTTTTCTTCCATTCATTTTGGACATTTGCAAACCTTCAAGTTCTTTTGAAAAAATTGTATTTGTAAAACTCTCAACTATTTGTTTATTCTATACTGAATGATGACCTCAGAAAAACTGACAACATTAGCATTCATCAATGTAAGTTTGATGAAAACATAAAATTAGTGTGAATTAAGTTATTGACTTCAGCTTTAAGCTCATTCATTTTTGAAAGTTTTGAAGATCTAAAAAATTTTTGAAAGGTAACATATATAATTTTATCCATATGCATTAATTGTTTAATTACATTGCTTGTTTTTGTATTTCCACTATTATAACTTTTGTGATTGCTAAATTTCAACAGCTATCTCAATGAATCCCAGCTTACTGAAGACTTTTGCTGAATCATTTGCATTCCACAAATACATCAAAATTTACAAACAATGATTTTTAATAAGTAAACAAAAAGAATATTCAAATTAAAAATAATTTCATGCAAGGATGTAAAATTTTGTGAATTTGTAAAAATCAACATATCTTTGCACCATTATAATAATACTGATAAACAATTGCTAAGTTTCCATAACAATAAACAACCAGAACTTTAGCAGTTGTTTGTTATAATCTGTAAAACTAATGTCATATCACTTGCAATGTCCTAAATATCAAGATGCACATCAGTGATGGAGTGTCTGCATTAGCATAAATATCCTCATAAAGATTCTCCAAAATCATTATATATCCAAACATTAGAAGCATTTGTCTAGGACAGGGGTGGCAAACCATTTTTGAGCCCGTGTGCCATATAGCAAGCATACTTAACTTTAAAGATGTTTATGTCAAAGTTTTAGGCTTTGAATAATATATTTAAATAAATTAAACAAATATTCTTTAATTAGAATAAATGTAAAGCTAATAGCAAAAGGATGATTGAAAAAGACAGAAGACAAATCAAAACCACATGATTCATTACATTCCAGATTTCTCCTTACATGCCACTTTGGGCATTCATGCTATAGATTTGCAACCCCTGGTCTAGGAAATAGGTTGAAAAATCAAGCCATTTCTTAGACAAATGCCAAACAGGAAAGGAAAAAGTTTTAGCCATAATCTCTAAGAAATAGGAAAAAGAAAGAAGACAAGGTATACTTACATCTGTACTGATAAAATATGAGAAATCCTGAACCATTATCATCCCAAAGTCAATTTTAGCTGTTCTATCAATTAGCTGAAATCAAAGTGAGGAGGGCACTTGCTTCTCCAACCAATTAAACTGGTTCTGTCATTCTCATGTATCCTGATCATTTATAATCATAAACACAATGGTCTTTATATTTACTGTCCATGGGTTACGATGGCTGCTAAAATATGATCTTACTCTTGTATTAATCCATTTTGTACTATAATGTCTGACTTTTATTTCAAAAAAATTACTTTATCTCTTCACATTTTGTTTGTTTTAAAACTAATATAATGAATATCATTATATAGTATATTATAAAAATAGATTAATCACAGTATTTAGTTCTAAAATCATCCACTTTTATAAATATATAAAATTTGAACATGTTTGACATTATAGAAAGTTAGTTTTGGAACAAGAATGATGTATTAAAATGTACAAAGCACTCGCACATCAAACGGAATTAATTCAATACAACTAATTGGAATTTCCTTTTATGGCACTAAAATTAAGATAAAAATACAAATAAAATTTACACAGCAAATCATATAAGATTAATCAGAAACCTGAAAGATAAAACATAGGCCTGTTTATAGGCTTTAATTGTCTCAAATAAGGTTACCCAAACAAAATTCTGTTTAGGATTGGATATGTCCTTAAACAGGGTGACATCATTCAAACATGGGGTATACTCTTCTTCTAAAATGTACTTGGCAAGTTCAGCGCCTTCGTCAACAGACTTTTGGTGTTCACATAGATGTTTTCTTATTTGTTTCAAAGTTGGCCCAAATAAAACTTTAGATAGGATGGGAGACTGGAATACTATAAATTCCAGAATGTCGTAACCCGGGCAATAGGACACCCAGTTCACAGCGTCCCATCCAGTGCCGGCCCGAGGCAAGTTTTAGGATGGAGCGAGATCCTGTTATGGCACCCCCTTGGTGGCCCCTAATTTATACCCTTTACTTTTCTTTAACACTGAGGCGCCACCTAAAACTTAGTGCCTGGAGCGGCTGCTCTGTTCGCCCTATGGTAGGGCCGGCTCTGGTCCCATCCGTAACTACTAACTAAAGTTGGGAAAGGTGCAAATGGTAGTAAACATGCACAAGTAAATTCCTAAAGAGCGAAACAAGTTTTAAAGTAATTTACAATATATAATATATCGAACGAAAGACAAACAAAAATTATAGGACGGTCTGTTGTATATAATAGTAGATGGAAATAAAGATCTTTGGACTTTTGCATATTTTATATCATCATCAATGCAACAGATAAGCTAATTCACAGGTCTACAGTTCATTCAAATATAAACATCAGCTTTTCATTGAACATCAGAAAAACCATTTAACTTCATAACTAATTTGATCCAAAACCGCGTTAACTTAGAAAGAGTAGAAACACGGCTAAAATGAAAAATCAGATAACAGTTAAAAATAGTTATTAACCATCAAAATCCTAAGATAAATTGAGGGCATACATTCACTTCGTGTGAATTAAGTTATTGACTTCAGCTTTAAGCTCATTCATTTTTGAAAGTTTTGAAGATCTAAAAAATCTTTGCAAGGTAACGTATATAATTTTATCCATATGCGTTAATTATGTTTAATTACATTGCTTGTTTTTGTATTTCCACTATTATAACTTTTGTGATTGCTAAATTTCAACAGCTATCTCAATGAATCCCAGCTTACTGAAGACTTTTGCTGAATCATTTGCATTCCACAAATACATCAAAATTTACAAACAATGATTTTTAATAAGTAAACAAAAAGAATATTCAAATTAAAAATAATTTCATGCAAGGCTGTAAAATTTTGTGAATTTGTAAAAATCAACATATCTTTGCACAATTATAATAATACTGATAAACAATTGCTAAGTTTCCATAACAATAAACAACCAGAACTTTAGCAGTTGTTTGTTATAATCTGTAAAACTAATGTCATATCACTTGCAATGTCCTAAATATCAAGATGCACATCAGTGATGGAGTGTCTGCATTAGCATAAATATCCTCATAAAGATTCTCCAAAATCATTATATATCCAAACATTAGAAGCATTTGTCTAGGACAGGGGTGGCAAACCATTTTTGAGCCCGTGTGCCATATAGCAAGCATACTTAACTTTAAAGATGTTTATGTCAAAGTTTTAGGCTTTGAATAATATATTTAAATAAATTAAACAAATATTCTTTAATTAGAATAAATGTAAAGCTAATAGCAAAAGGATGATTGAAAAAGACAGAAGACAAATCAAAACCACATGATTCATTACATTCCAGATTTCTCCTTACATGCCACTTTGGGCATTCATGCTATAGATTTGCAACCCCTGGTCTAGGAAATAGGTTGAAAAATCAAGCCATTTCTTAGACAAATGCCAAACAGGAAAGGAAAAAGTTTTAGCCATAATCTCTAAGAAATAGGAAAAAGAAAGAAGACAAGGTATACTTACATCTGTACTGATAAAATATGAGAAATCCTGAACCATTATCATCCCAAAGTCAATTTTAGCTGTTCTATCAATTAGCTGAAATCAAAGTGAGGAGGGCACTTGCTTCTCCAACCAATTAAACTGGTTCTGTCATTCTCATGTATCCTGATCATTTATAATCATAAACACAATGGTCTTTATATTTACTGTCCATGGGTTACGATGGCTGCTAAAATATGATCTTACTCTTGTATTAATCCATTTTGTACTATAATGTCTGACTTTTATTTCAAAAAAATTACTTTATCTCTTCACATTTTGTTTGTTTTAAAACTAATATAATGAATATCATTATATAGTATATTATAAAAATAGATTAATCACAGTATTTAGTTCTAAAATCATCCACTTTTATAAATATATAAAATTTGAACATGTTTGACATTATAGAAAGTTAGTTTTGGAACAAGAATGATGTATTAAAATGTACAAAGCACTCGCACATCAAACGGAATTAATTCAATACAACTAATTGGAATTTCCTTTTATGGCACTAAAATTAAGATAAAAATACAAATAAAATTTACACAGCAAATCATATAAGATTAATCAGAAACCTGAAAGATAAAACATAGGCCTGTTTATAGGCTTTAATTGTCTCAAATAAGGTTACCCAAACAAAATTCTGTTTAGGATTGGATATGTCCTTAAACAGGGTGACATCATTCAAACATGGGGTATACTCTTCTTCTAAAATGTACTTGGCAAGTTCAGCGCCTTCGTCAACAGACTTTTGGTGTTCACATAGATGTTTTCTTATTTGTTTCAAAGTTGGCCCAAATAAAACTTTAGATAGGATGGGAGACTGGAATACTATAAATTCCAGAATGTCGTAACCCGGGCAATAGGACACCCAGTTCACAGCGTCCCATCCAGTGCCGGCCCGAGGCAAGTTTTAGGATGGAGCGAGATCCTGTTATGGCACCCCCTTGGTGGCCCCTAATTTATACCCTTTACTTTTCTTTAACACTGAGGCACCACCTAAAACTTAGTGCCTGGAGCGGCTGCTCTGTTCGCCCTATGGTAGGGCCGGCTCTGGTCCCATCCGTAACTACTAACTAAAGTTGGGAAAGGTGCAAATGGTAGTAAACATGCACAAGTAAATTCCTAAAGAGCGAAACAAGTTTTAAAGTAATTTACAATATATAATATATCGAACGAAAGACAAACAAAAATTATAGGACGGTCTGTTGTATATAATAGTAGATGGAAATAAAGATCTTTGGACTTTTGCATATTTTATATCATCATCAATGCAACAGATAAGCTAATTCACAGGTCTACAGTTCATTCAAATATAAACATCAGCTTTTCATTGAACATTAGAAAAACCATTTAACTTCATAACTAATTTGATCCAAAACCGCGTTAACTTAGAAAGAGTAGAAACACGGCTAAAATGAAAAATCAGATAACAGTTAAAAATAGTTATTAACCATCAAAATCCTAAGATAAATTGAGGGCATACATTCACTTCACGAGTTTGGCCATGTTTACATAACAGGAAATACTCACGTGTCACTTCAGTTAACCTCAATCCACTAAACACGCCATTGCCATAATCGATAGGAAGGACTGTAATCTCTGTAATTGTTTATCGATAGAAAATGACCGTCGACACGTTCAGTTTGCGATTACACATCACAATACTCGCCAGAATAACGCGAATTTAATTAAATAAATGTCATTTCACTCGATTTTCACACTTTAATTCCTGTCTAACACGAGAATGGTGTATCAAAACAATAAAAAAAAATGGCTACTTAATTGTATAATTAATTCATTTCCACGTGATGAAAACGACAATTTTTCTTACATAATGATCCAATTAAAGGATCGATCGAACTCTATTTTTACATAAATACTAATCGAATGGCTTATAAATCGCCTTCTACGAATGTTATGAGGCTTTCTGGCGCCAATTAATCGCCATAATTGGAAAAAAACCTTACCTTTACGAGATAAATTTACTTTCGCTTTCATCATTCGTCTAACCCTTTTAAGTCGCCATAACATTCAAAACATTGCGCAATGCCCTCTAGCGTTAATTACGTAAATTATCTCTGGCGTTGTCGTCACTGTAGATGCTCCGTGGCGTTCGGTTATTTCTTCGGATTCCGTGACGTCAGAAGTTCTGGTAGTTTATGAACGTAAATCGAATAATATTCAAAATGGCGGATGTCTTAATTAGTTAAGTCCGGAGCCGAATAATTTTGTAACCCCTCCAATGTTAATATGTAAAAATAGGATGCGTTTAATTGGGGTTTGTAAGATTGAGGCCCCATTAACTTATAATACGTCACTAGAATTCACAATTGTCATTTATCACTGCTCAAAAGAGGTGTAAATAAATTAAGCGTAACTAAAAAAAATCCCGATCAATTGCTCAATTAAATGCTTTAATTAATAATTTACGATGACGAAAGTTAATTTATTTACAAACTTCTATATCTTAAAAAGATTTGTCTTGGCCACCGAACGAGCGTTACGCTGCCGAACTCGTAACTCTGTTACGAAGCAATCTTTCTCGTGAAATTACTCCCGACGAAGAGTAACTTTCTTTTAAAAAAACGCAACTTGTTACGCGAATTTAAATATACAAATCGTAACTTGAGGTAACGTGATCGCCGCATTTTAACAAGGTAACTTGTTACGCATATTTAAAATGTATAAATCGTAACAGCCCGTAACTGTGCTCCGCATTGTGATAAAGTAACCTGTCTGGCGAATGTAAAAGTGACTTGTGAAATAGTAATGCTCTAACCGTAACACAAGTTTAGAATCGTGTAACGATAATCTGTTACGCGAATGTAAATGTCAAATATTAACGTACTGTACTACGACTACGAGTAACGTTTATTAAGCGTACTTGTTAGAAGCGTAACGTAATGTGTTACGTTAATAGCACCGTAATCACAGCGTAACGTCATTACAACAACCGTAACGATAACGTAAGTAGTAAACTTTCTAATGTTACGTTAAAGAAAAAAATTATGGGATCAGAAGGTCACGTGCAATGCGTAACAGAAGGTGGCGCACGTGTCACGAAGAATCGTGAACCCCAACTCATCATTTCCCATATGAACACTTTATGCAAAAGGATCACGGCCAGTTTTCTCGGCCGAAGTATAAGTATGACGTGATAATCGACTAACGAGGGTGTCGTCACAATTACTTCAATTACACGCGTAATCCGTCACACTTACCCAGCCCTAAATATTACAGAAGTATTCTCTACATAATAAAGCGTCGAATTACTTAACAAGATTACTTTTATTTTAATAGTAACCAAGAAAAGTGCGAAAGTTTCCGGTGCGCCAACCTGACCCGATAGTACTCGTCGCGCCATCTGACGTCGTTCAAAAATGTTAATTATAATAAACGTTAAGTCAAATAAAATTACGAAATTCAATCATTTACTTAAAGTTTAATAAATCTATTTTATTCGTTTTTATTTACAAGAATTGTGCTTGGTTCGAAAATTTCATGTAGGAAACAATGAATTTTGAATGTAACAATGTCTAGTCATGAAAATTTGTCCTTTCTTGTGTGGCAATTTGAAAAATATGTAACAATGTAAATTATACAAAAAAATAACATTTTTGTGTATACTAAATAAACATTTTTATATATTTTGAAACATTTGTACAAAACGTTTTGCCGGGATGTGGCGTCACAGGGTAGCGTACTGCGTGCAGATCTGCGGAACCTCGTCTTCGGGGAGGATCAGAGCTACGCTGGTGGTGATTCTAGACAGTAACGCCACCCTCTTCTCTTCGTGAAGATCTTCCCACCTGCTATCCAGGTGCTTCCAGGCGATCTGGTCCATTTTCTTGACCGTGAGTTCCGAGCTTTCGACGGAGGCGTCGGTGGCGGCCGTCATCAGTATGACCACGTCCTTGTACGGTGCATTCTCGTGGTCGCAGTAGGAGTGCAGGATCATGGCCGAATCGGCCGATAGGGCGTCCAGTCTCTCTAGTAGAATGACGCGATGGTCGTTTTTGTCAAAGCTCTCTCTGAAAGTCGCGTCTATCTTCTCTTTCATGTCGCGGTCGGCGTCACCTTCCAGAGAATTCAGCCTCGGATAATGTTTTCGGTTATTAAACGATTTCTCTAAAGAAGATGCCAATCTGTTGGCCAGACACGAAGACGTCGGCTCGGCCCACCGGCTGGCCACCAGCAGGATGACGGCGGGTTGTTCGTGTCGGGTGGAGTTGATGACCGAATCGACGGCCGCGCGGATCACTTTCCAACTCCACTTGTTCTGTTTCTGGAATTCGTCCTGCAGTTGCTTGTAAAGACTTTTAAAACTGCAACTGGGAATTTGGCTGCAATCCAAACTATTCTTTCCAAAACCAGAATAATAGCAACCCAGCAAAATCAAACTAACAGCAGCTAAGAGTGCACAGAGATATAAGTACTTATTGTCAGCCTGACTTGTTTGATTTTTTTTAATGTTGACACGTGTACTTTTTGACACCTGACTTCTTTCATTTCGTCTAATGTTAATATTTTCACTTTTTGACAGTGTTACTCTGTACTGCACAGGAGGAGAATAGTTGTCGGTTGCATCAAGACCGTCTTCTTCCTGAAAAAAATTAAGGAAAAAACAAAATCGTTATATATCTAATCTGAATATCTGAACTAAAACAGTTATATTAATTAACATATTGTTAATAGTGGATAAAGATTAGATGACTCCAATGTTTTTGTTTTGGTTAAAGGGCCATCTAACATGGACATTTAAAAGTGGAATGTCATTCCACTCAACCATTCATGCCTGAAGATGATCAGTTAACCAGGTAAAAAATTTTAGTGTTATTTAAACTTTACCCACGTTAAAGGTGTGTCAATTAATTCCGCTAAATAATGATAGCAACTAGTTCTTTGTTATATTGATTATTATATTACAGTAACTAATGTTCCCTCTATTTTTTTTGTAGCTGAGTGGAACGTGTACTTCTCTGCTTGGCACATAAATTCTCGTACGCAACAACAATTCGAGCAGTGCACGGCAGTGCAGCTTAGAGGGAACATGGTAATAATTCAACATCTGGCATCTTTACAAATACCGAAAGCTCCCAATAAAATATAGTAGTGCATTTCAAGCAATTATAGGAGGACATTGGGAACAACAGAAGGAGAGGAAATAGCCTATATCTCAGCAAAACAACCACAAAAATTTGAGATTCCAATCGAACCTGGGCCTTCAAAATGGTAGAATGACATCTTTGCCACTTTCAGAAATCAAATTTTGATTGGATCTCAGATTTAGATTAATAGTTTGTTAGAATAATCACACGACCAAAGTTATTTCATGTAATAAGGCAATCAAAATTGTATTTTAATAACCAAAACATATTACTGTAAAATATCTGCAACATTCTCTCTTCATTATATCACTCATTTTGACATATTGCACTTATTCTTTGTCTTCCAAACATAAAAGTGCTTTAAGCAATTTTTAAAAATATTGGTTGCCATCAAATTTCTATCCAACAAAGAAATATTACCTTATTCCAATCACTGACCTTGAAACTATCATTGTATGAAATACAACCCAGACCAAAGCGAGTTGGCATGGAGATGGAAATAGACAAAACAGGTGGACAGATACATTGGTTACATTACACCATCTGATATATTGCTCATTAGGTTTGTTGCCAGGCAGGCATAATATAACTAGGGGATATTGTAATATATTTTTGTCATCAATAATGATTTATATATATATATTTTGTATACTAATATACAATAATTTTATTTAAAATACACTAGAAGTTAGTGGCACACCCAGAGAGGGGGACAAGGGGCCCTAGCACCCTCCAAAGAAGATAAACAACCACTAGAAAAGTTTCCAAAAATCTTATCCTAATTAAAATTCATTTTTTATTTATATTGTGTTGTCTTCTATTTCTATACTACTTACGAATTAGCAGTTATAAATGGTGGAAATTTTGACTGAATTTGCATTAACAATTGTTTTATCCATTCAACTTGGCTCCCTCAAGATTAAATCCTGAATGCTCCACAGATACAAATATACAATAAATGTCATATGTCAGCAGTCACCAACCTTTCTGACCTCACAGACCACTAAATTCACAAATTTGAATCCCTCAAACCATTATCATGAAATTTTTAAAATGATACAAACATCTATAGCAAGGGTCACCAAACTTTTATCACAGCGGGCCACATAACAGAATGACGAGTGTGGTCCGCATAACCATTTTGTTCAATACAGTACACTGAATACACAAAAAATAAAGACAACCAACATATTTATTTAACAATACACAAACACGATCGTTGCAGCAAGCTCGTAATCGCTTTTGTTAGAAACTTCATTGCAGGTACTTATACAAAAAGCACTCTAATATCCAGTCGCAAAAAATCGCCAAATTTTTTATTTCACTGATTTTCCTAAAAAATTTACTACTGTTAGATGCAAAAATCATATTGGACCACTTCTGGCATTTTTACTTACACTTACTATGTAAAAAATTAAAATAAGTTTATCTACAATCTGTGATATTTCCATATAAATAATTATATTTTGGCTCATTTGTGGCACAGTGGGGCAGAGGGCCGGATGAGCTGACCTTGCAAGCCATAGTTTGGTGACCCCTGATCTATAAAATAATGATCATAAAATTTCTGTTTTACTTTATTAATATGAACTTCACTTGTTCGATTAAAACAAATTAGCGTAAAGTTTGTTGCTGTTTGTTTGAGATAAGTTTATGCTTTCTTGGCTTTTCCATAAAGGACAATTGCACTTGCAACATTATTGATTATTGTTGATTGATTATTGATTTATTGAAAATCATTTTGTGTTTGGTTTTAAATTTGAATAAAAAAATCTCCAACAAGTGAAAGGAACCAAAGTATTTTGCATTTCTTTCATAATACATTGCATAACCTTCAGTTCACCAATGTCCAAATTTCTCCACAGACCACCAAAATTTTCTCATGGACCACTTGATGGTGACTGTTGTCATATAGTATAACAAATTATTTTATAAATTCTTTCAATTGTAATCTCTAAAATTCTAACCAAATTGAATAATAGTTCATTATAAAATTTTTATTAATTTTTCTTACATTTTCTGATAATTCTTCACCATCGCTATTCAAATCTTCATCATCTGTTTTCAATTTCGAATGTTCGTCAGCAGGAGAATCATTGCTTCGTAAAGCACGACGTTTTGTTACTTGGTTCATTCTCATTCACTAATAAATAAACAAAATTTGATATATAAAGCTAAAATATCATATAAAAAGTACAATATTCTCACATAACTAAGTTTAAAACTATAATTCATGTAAATAATCAATTAAAAAATATACAAATTCATTCATCCTAATTTATTTTTAATCTAGAATGAATATAAAGTAGAAAATTTAGTTAATTAAATTATCAATAATTTTTCTGTATATGCAGTGATATATTTTCAAAAAATTTTGAATATATTTAAATACATTCAGACATTATTTGACTCCTTACAGCTAAGAATTAAAACTTAAAGTTACTGTTAAAACCCATTAATTTGACATAGGATATACATTAATTAGAAATTGGCACCTCAACTTCGGATCCTTTACTCATTTCTCGAGTGAATTTTACAAGTTCAAAGTTCGATTTCATTAATTATTATTATGTTTTGACATTTTATGTATAACCTAATGGACTTCTTTAGTAATAAGTGTAAACTTTATTCCTGATAACATTTACATAATGTACATGTTCTTGCAATTCTATAGATATTTATTATCCATTGGACTTGAATGTATTATTGTTGCAATATATTTTAATGTCTCTTATTATTTTTTTAATGTCAGGGATAATTGTGAGTCTATCATAATTAATAAAGAAAACTTACTATTACTTACCATTTGAATATTTTGAAACGGTACAAATGCAGCAATTAGGAACCCATCAACATTTTAGACCAACAACAAAAGAGTAAAAAATGATCAAAGAAATAAAATCCAAGTGCGATCTATCGCAAGATATTTAAATAGTTAAATATGAGGAGCCGTATCTACGGTATACGTTACCAATTTTCTGTCGAGTATTATATTCGTATAATGCAATCTGCATTCTTTTATACAAGTCGACCCCCCCTATAACACTGTTGATTATTCCGTTTTATATGAATTCCATGTTGTATGAGTCACTTAGATTTTACAAATATGTGTGCCTGGCTGTGAACGGCTCATGTATTTGTAAAATCTAAGCGACTCGTACAACATGAAATTATATAAAACGGAATAATCAACAGTGTTATAGGGGGATCGACTGTATTTTTAATATTTACTCTCATAAAACAATAGACAAATACATCTTATCATTTGATGAAGGTTTTATGAGAATATTAACATATTTAATCTGCTTTAGATTTATATTTTTCAAAGTTCATCTATAACATTAGCATCTCAGCATCCTCTAACTCATCATCCTCATCCACATCATCAACATTATTGTTGATGCTGTGGATGAGGGTGATGAGTTAGAGATGAGTTGGCATGATTCTAAATAACTGAAATTAAATTTCAATTGTTTTGAATTTATGAAAGAAATTATACATTTTTAATTGAAATCACTGCATATTTGTGGTAATTGGATGAAGTAACTTACCTTTAATTTAAATAGGAATCAGAGCCGGCTTTTAAAAAGTGATTGTTAATTAATACAATATTATTTACAAAAAGCAACAATTAACTTTCGCATAATCACTAATCAATTCGAAGTGAACTGAAAGCTTCCATCACCTGAACTAACATTCTACCACGCTCAAAGTTCTTCCAAAGGTCTAGTGGTGACATCTACTGGCACTTTATAATGTAAAAAGTTTTTTTTTTTTTTATATCGATNTAAATTTCTGTCTTTAATTAATTAAGTTTAGGCGGCAGCCTACTGCCCTGGGAACCCAGGATCGAATCCAGACGGGTCGAAAAATTCCAGGATTTTTTTGGGGTGGTCCGTCTGGATAAATCAAGCCCGTCCCTTACGCCGGGTAGTGAAAGACGGGGCTTGATTTATCATTATGGGTTCTGGCCGAATCCATAATGGGCTTGATTAAGGTGTCCTCTTACAAGTTAGTGCTCACAGGGTGAAACCGGTTTTAAAAAATTAAGAATGATCATTTGATTGTGAACCAGTGAACCGTAACTTGGCAGGTGCAACAGGTGCACCCGCACAGGGTCCACTTAGAAGGAGGGCCCAAAATGCATGTATTTGTATTATTATTTTCGCAAACTTAATTAATTAAGGGTCCTAAATGCAAATTTTTGCACAGGGCACAGGAATGGCTAGTTGCGGCACTGTTGTGAACATTAAGTATTACATATTTCATTACAAGATATTTCATTACAGAGAGACTTGGAACTTAAAATATATTCATCGGTGGCATCTTGCGAAAGTTCTTTATTTATTTTCGATGAAGCGGATATGATGCCAGCCGAATTAATTGACGTGATAAAACCTTACGTGGATAATTATAATGATATCGAGGGAATAAATTTTAGAAGAGCAATATTCATTTTTCTGAAGTGAGTAAATCTTTATTCTGAGATTTCTTTATACGGAATGGTCGCGCATTCCTATGTCTTAGATTGTATCCTGAATCTCTTAATAAATATCTTAAGTGATAATTCGATGTACGTGTATCCGATAAGGTTTGGCTTTTCGAATTACAAATAACACTTGATAATTCATTCTGGAGCTTTCTGAAAATTTCTCAATTTCGTCTTATAACTGCTGAAAACCTAAACCTAACTGCACGGTAATATTTCGTGTGAACAGTTAATAGACATTCTAATCATCAAACTAGAGAATTTACAGAAAAAAAAGACATGAGGAATAATTTACATTTGCACGGATGAAGCGGAAAATACACAGATAAATTCTAAATAGCATACCATTGCAGGACCTCAAGGCGTCAGCTTATTGCTCTGAGGATCTTAGCAAATAGTCCAAGTGTAATCTGTTTCTCAGAGAAAGTGCTCCCTCTAGTGACGAAAAAATTAAACATTATTCAAAAAAATAATAATAACGCAGAAACATAGACATCATCTTCTAACGATAAAAACAATAAATCGTTTAATCTTTCTTGAAAATAAAACTAAATAAATAAAAATTTAAATTTTCAAATTATTTATTCGTAAATGAATTTAAAACTGTATATCTTTTTATTATTTTGATGTACGTACGATACGTTTATTACGCAATCTGACGCGAGACTGGTGTCAGCCGAGCGACAATGAAAACAATTAGAAAGATAATTGCGGTGTTATTTTTATTTCATTTGTTTGCAGTATCCGAAAGTTGGGATGGATTTGATGAAATACTTCGCTGGACGAAGTATATTGTGAATAAAGTTTATGACGGTATACATGATATGATATGTGCTAAAACAGAATGCTGCACGGACAATTGGAGAAAGGCGAACTTTTCGAGTAAGTTATTCCTTTTAAATAATTAAATTTAAGTAATTTTTAAGAAATATTCCTCAGTAATTTCCTTACAATTTAGTCATATTTAAGGATATAATTTTACGGTAGAATAATTTATTGCTATAAAAGGATGCGCCGCTTGAATTGTCTTTATAGACAATTACCGAAATATAGGAAAAAGTGTCTAAATAGTTTACTAACTTCCTTAATTTAAGATGTGTTTTGGTATTTTATTATTGATAAGAATTTATTTCGCGATTGTCCGTTCAAAAAACATGTAATTTGTGATGTGGTCGCGTGAAAGCGTGTCGCCTTCCGTTAATAAGACCCGAGTTTGAATGTACTTTCGTGATGTACTTATTGAAATACGTGGTTTCAATTGGCACGTACTCTAAAATAGAGAGGTCCACAGTTTATGAAACATAGTATAGTCTCGAATCATAAATTTTGGAAGTTTCTCCGATGCATTTCGCACCTGTAAAACGCTTTAACCTTTTATAATAAAGAAATTACTGTATTTAAATTTAAGATAACTTTGTTCTCGTAGATTTAAGTATCGCCTTAACTTCGACATTGCACGGGCAACACCTGGTCAAACAGATATTGCTACCTTCCATACGAGGCCATCTCATCGATAACGATCCCAAAAAAGCTCTAGTCCTATCGTTTCACGGTGGAACCGGCGTTGGTAAGAATTTCGTCACTAGGCTCATCGCCGAAAATTTGTACGTGCAAGGAATGAAAAGTAAATACTTTCACTTATTCATACATACCAGAGATTTTAAATTCGCTTCCGAACCAAACAAACTAAACGAATATAAGGTAAGATCGAATTATAATGTACTGTATTTACTTTTGTATATTTTTCGTTAAAATTTGTTTTAATATTGTATTTTATCCTCTCAACAGAAGATCTAACTTTGGTTTAGAAATTTAAGCTTAGTCTGGAGTTATACGGGTTGGGTGTCACCTGATATGAATATTTTCAATGAGATCATTCAATGCATGAATTCATACCCTCTAACACATTCAATTCGTTTGCTTCACAAAAAATTAAAAATTTTCTGCACTGTGTTGTAATATTGTCCATTTTTAAATTTCTGTCTTTAATTAATTAAGTTTAGGCGGCAGCCTACTGCCCTGGGAACCCAGGATCGAATCCAGACGGGTCGAAAAATTCCAGGATTTTTTTGGGGTGGTCCGTCTGGATAAATCAAGCCCGTCCCTTACGCCGGGTAGTGAAAGACGGGGCTTGATTTATCATTATGGGTTCTGGCCGAATCCATAATGGGCTTGATTAAGGTGTCCTCTTACAAGTTAGTGCTCACAGGGTGAAACCGGTTTTAAAAAATTAAGAATGATCATTTGATTGTGAACCAGTGAACCGTAACTTGGCAGGTGCAACAGGTGCACCCGCACAGGGTCCACTTAGAAGGAGGGCCCAAAATGCATGTATTTGTATTATTATTTTCGCAAACTTAATTAATTAAGGGTCCTAAATGCAAATTTTTGCACAGGGCACAGGAATGGCTAGTTGCGGCACTGTTGTGAACATTAAGTATTACATATTTCATTACAAGATATTTCATTACAGAGAGACTTGGAACTTAAAATATATTCATCGGTGGCATCTTGCGAAAGTTCTTTATTTATTTTCGATGAAGCGGATATGATGCCAGCCGAATTAATTGACGTGATAAAACCTTACGTGGATAATTATAATGATATCGAGGGAATAAATTTTAGAAGAGCAATATTCATTTTTCTGAAGTGAGTAAATCTTTATTCTGAGATTTCTTTATACGGAATGGTCGCGCATTCCTATGTCTTAGATTGTATCCTGAATCTCTTAATAAATATCTTAAGTGATAATTCGATGTACGTGTATCCGATAAGGTTTGGCTTTTCGAATTACAAATAACACTTGATAATTCATTCTGGAGCTTTCTGAAAATTTCTCAATTTCGTCTTATAACTGCTGAAAACCTAAACCTAACTGCACGGTAATATTTCGTGTGAACAGTTAATAGACATTCTAATCATCAAACTAGAGAATTTACAGAAAAAAAAGACATGAGGAATAATTTACATTTGCACGGATGAAGCGGAAAATACACAGATAAATTCTAAATAGCATACCATTGCAGGACCTCAAGGCGTCAGCTTATTGCTCTGAGGATCTTAGCAAATAGTCCAAGTGTAATCTGTTTCTCAGAGAAAGTGATCCCCATCTTTCTATAAACTCTCTATGGCAGATAGCCAGTTTCTCAGAAAGATCGGGGACACTTTTAATAAAAAACTGGCCCGTATTTAGATGTTAGCAATGTGAAGAAAATCTGGAAAATTTCATTTCACCAGCCAATTGGTGAGGAGCGAACTCAAGACCAAAACTACCAGTGTTCAGTGGTTTTATTCACTAGGCCACTGGAAAAGACTCGAGTTCGATCCGAGCGAGTAACATTCCACGATATGTTCATAGGCACAATATTTCGAGCCCTATTCTTCATCACACGGCCGCCTTATTGTGAAGATGGATGAACTCAACGCGGGTGTGGAAAAAGCTCGTTTTAGTGCCCACAGTAAAGAGTCAAATATTAAAAAAATATAACGTGCCATAAAGTTCATACGCCGTAACCAGCACGCATAAGGATTCTGCTCCATCCTGTGTAACCTTTATAAGTACTGTACATTTCTATAAAAACTTGAAGAAGTTTACAGATGCATGGATAGAAAAAAAAAAACCTTAAAGTAATACCCTATATTTGTATATACCACTATGTCTAAATACATTAATCTCTTGACGACAATTAAATTAAAAATACGTCTTGCTGCGTCTTCGGTCACACTGTTGCTCGGAAGAGAGTTACTCCCTCGGTGAGCGAGAGCGAGAAAGGGGTGGAATTAACACACACATATGTGGCGACTAGTTTCCAACAAAAGAGTTCAGGTAGCACAATTGAATAGGAGTCCGTACTCTAGACGAGGAGTCGACAAAAGGACGAAGGCACGTGTTCGAATCGGTCTTTTAAAACCTCCGAACTCCCTCTGGTGGCGATCGGACGAAGTGCGAAATTGGTCGCCACACATACATACACACACCTCCTTTACCATGTTTAAACATTGACTGACCGGACTGTTAGAAACAGTAGGACTATACAAATATGGCATACATAATCATAATTTAAGACCTTTTATATGATTGTACGATAGTTTCTCTGTATTGAAACAACAATCGATCGAATCAATTAAATTTTACATTTCCAGCAACGCAGGTAGCGAAGCCATCGAGAATTTAACTCGTCGAGTGTGGGAGAAATACAGAAAAAGAATAGACATAACCTTGAAAGATGTGGAACCTCTCATCGTCACGGATCTAAAGACCAAAGAAGCAACTAACGTGAAAGGTTTAGTATACAGTATTTCCATAGAATCTTCGGTAGATTTAAGTAGATCTTCGGTCGCCAATTATATGTTTTTGTATTAAATTGCAGTCGGTTTGTACGAAAGTAGCATCATGAAGAGTCACCTGATCGACACTTTTGTCCCCTTTCTGCCTCTAGAGAAGGAACACGTAAAATTATGTATAAAAGACGACTTGAATTCGAAAGGGCACGCGGTGGATCCGAAAGTAATCGAAGAAATTGCCGAAGAATTAAATTATTTTCCCGAAGGAACGACGAAGTTTTCTAAATCCGGTTGCAGAAAAATCAGCCAGAAAGTCAATATGAGATTGTTCGACGAATTGTAATTTTCTTTGACGTTGTTCATTAATTAGTGAGGATAGATTAATTTCCGTTTAAAATTATGAATTTATTTAATATTGTGCATTTTCTAATTTTTGTGTAATTTCTATTGTGTAATTTACTGATATGTCGGAGGGTTAGGACCCATCCCTCACCATCTCTATGAGATATATCACGTTCTGAGAACGAAATCGCAAAAGTCACGTGGTAAGAGGAAACCTTTTGTTACTTAATCTACAATTGAATTCATATGTATACTATCAGATTAATTTGATTGACATTAAAACATTAACAACCTCGAATGTTGTGAAATGATAAATAATATACTAGGAAACGAGACGGTTAAAGAGTACAGGATAGCTGTTATGAGTGTTCCTCTATTAGGGTGTCCTATTTTAGTTAAGTTTAGCCTATCCACTCCCCTTAATAATCAAATATGGTATCTAGCTCCGTCCTGAAAAGAAACCATGTGTAAGTTTTAAGTTAATATTTAAATTTTGCAAGTTTATTTTATTATAATAATTATAAGCACGTGGTTTTTTAATCTTATCTACCCCTCCCCTACTTAGTTTTTTTCTTATACCCTCCCTCTTTGACAGCCGGATGTCAGGGAGGCTAATGTAACAGCCCTACCTCTCTGAGGTTGCGGGATTGAATCCGGAGGGGTCTAAAAAATTCCCAGGAATTTTTTGGAGTGGGTCGTTCCGGATATGTCGTCATTATAAACGAAACACTTCGTACTTGAATCTATTAGCTCGGAATACATACACCACACTATGAACGTTTCTCTGTTATCACGTGACATGCTGTCCTCACCATATGCACAAACCTCATTGTGTGTCTGGCCGAACCCACTGTGGGTATGGATAAAAACCATCTAAATGCCCAGGAGATGAAAGAATCTAAATACTGTGTTTTGATCTGTTTTTTAAATGCGATATATTTTCTGTTTAATTTTGAAAATTATTGAAATTGCCAATACGAGTGAGAGAATTAGGCTCACTCATAATCGGTTCAGTTAACGTAAATAAAAAGAGAGATATGAAGTTCTGATCCGAATCCGGCTATGTATATTAGTAAGATAATCATCTACTATGGAACGGGTCGTTCAGATGAAAACAAGAAAATCCATGGTAAAAGATTGCACCTGGTGCATTCTTCCACTATTCTCTGTTAATTAAAGAACAATTCTTCTGAGGTTGAAGATAACACGGAATCATTTGAATGTGTTGAAGTTTTACCACGGCTTCACGTTTATAAAGTTCCATTGTAATGCCAACTCTTACGAGCAGTAACTTCTGTGATGCTTAGTGTGTGTCTACTATTTTATCCTTTTTAAATAGGTAGTACACGCATAATGAATTAGAAAACTCTTTACAATACACAACATACAGTAAAATTAAAAACACTTATATAAATCGATACTTTATAATAATATTAATTCGGATTATGTTAATTTAGATCATCAAATTTATGGAAAATTCTATAAATCAATATTTAAATAATTTTTTTAACAAGTCCAAAATGAAAACAATGCCAAAATAAGTCCTATTTTATGTGTTTACATTAAGAAACAGCACTTCGTTTTTATGATTTTGTTACTTTGAAGAGCCCATGGCCTTATCAGTCGGTAGGTCTTCTATCTCATCATCTTTGGCATAAGAAGGCGTAGAGTACCCTGTACTTAACTCTTCACGGTGGATTTTTTTATGATCTAATTCATCTTCGATATAATCGCTCACTGAAATTTCTTCCAATTCTTCTTGACATATATTGGCTACTATGGCGGAACCGTAAGCATCACCCAAAACATTGACCACAGTTTGAAACCTATCTCTGAAACAGAAAACACAAAGTTTATATTGAAAATTAATGGATAATAAGAGTTGTCTTACTTACAAGAACCAATCGATTACGAAGACAATGGCGACATTTTCGGCTGGTAAGTTCAAAGCTTGTAGAACCATGACTAAAGTGATCATCCCCGAATTTGGTATTCCCGCGGCTGCCACGCTAGAAGCCGCAGACATGACACTGCAAAATATTTCATTACGAGTTAAAATTATTGTAGAAATTTCAGAATATATCCGTTTGAAGAAACTCACACGACGGCGATAATTCCTCCCGAGTCGATTTCTATATTCTTTATTTGAGCGATGAATAATGCAGCTATCGGTTGAGCCAAGGCTAAACCATCCATGTTAATGGTTGCACCTATAGGAAGACAGAAGCTGCAGATTCTAGGATCCAAACCTATCTTATTCTTCAAACATTTGATGGTGATCGGAAGGGTAGCGGAACTGAGAAACCAAAAAATTAATCGTGTTATATAGATAACGGGTATAATTAATTGTATTTTATATTTAATTAAAATACCTTGAAGCTGTAATTAGAGCAGTTATAATCGCATGTAACATCCCTCTCATGAATGTAAAAGGATTCATTCTAGTGAAAACGAAGTAAAGGCAAGGTAGAATGAGCATGGAATGAATAAACAGGCCTAACAGCACTGTCAATACGTAACTTCCTAATTGCTCAACAATTAACATCACGTTCTCTGTTTCTACGATTTTTCCAATTATGATAAACATTACGGCCATAGGAGAAAACCTTAACAGAATCATTAAAATTGAAAAAATTAACCAAAAATCCTTTATAAAAGTTATCTTTAGAACTTACCAAATGAAGTGTTCTGCAATAATCATGATACATTCGTCGATACATTCGAAGAAGTTGAGAGCGGGTTTGGATTTTTCTTTCATCTTACTCAAACACATTCCTATCATAATGGCGAATACTACAAGACCCAAGATATTCATTTCTTGTATACGCGAAGATTTAAATTTCCACGAATGTATTTCTATAAAAATGTAAATAAGTCAGTTTCTATATTGATTTGATTGTCTTTGGGAATATTCAAACTAAACTATTTGAGCAATTATGAATCTGAAGAACATTTATTAAGAAATGAATTTGTTAAATCATGGCTATCAAATGGAAGACAAGAAATATTTGCAAAATGTTGACATAAATATCAATACAGTAGAGCGTCGTTTATCCGAAGGTCGTTATCCGAAACGTCGGTTATCCGAAGGAATTTCAGTCGACAAATTTCAATTTTCTCCAGTGCTCTGGCGCTGTAATCTTTGGCTATGTCTTGGGCTACTCAAATATTTTACATTTTTGTTACTAAATTAACTTCTGAAGTATAATTTTTTATTGTTTTTATATTTTTCAATATATTTATTTTGTTTGTACAAAATAAAAAAAATAATTTTTAACGATACAATAGTCTTCGTTAGGCTTAACATCGACGAAAATTCAACGCGAAGCGACACGCAACGGAGAAAAATTTCAACACGGGATAAATTAATATATTTTTTCGTACATGATTCGTTATCCGAAAAATAAGTTATCCGAACAACCCCAGTCCCCAATTGATTCGGATAAACGACGCTCTACTGTACTCCTCTCTCTCTCTTCTGTGTGTTGTAGAATCTCACCTGTAGAATTCCTAAGAGTTTCATTTTCTGGAGGAACAATCTCAGTAAATGTCTACAAAAGTAATAAAATGTATTAGAAGAAAAGTTCAGCAATGATTTTTGATCTATAGAAACTCACTTGAAAAATACAGGCTTCGATAATGTTGCGTGGTATCATATTCCTGAAAATAATGAAAGAAAAACAGTAAATCAAAATACTGATGAACACGAAAAGTGATTTCTAAAGTGATATTTCATGGCATAAGAAGGTAAAAAGTAGTGAATATTCTTGGAAACCACGACTTAAGGCCAATGCACACGAGCAGCAAAGTTAAGAGGTCGGTGCTTACTTAATTTTGTCATCAGCGTGAACCGACCTTCAGAATTTTCTGATTTCCAAGAATATTTTTGTGTGTCGTTTGCCACGTGCTCACCTTACAAGATCCAACAACTTATCTACAGTAAGACTAAAATGGATAACAGAATTTTGTTCTTTGACGTATGTATCTTCTTTGTGTTTTCCGGGTTGGATAACGGAAACCAGCACAACACCCAATGAAGTGGCGATCAGAGTTGTGCTGAGAAAAACGAGTATGGCTCTTACTCCTATTTTGCCAACAAGATTAACTTCCAGATTGCCCACAGCGGCTATGAGACTGGCAACAATCAGAGGGATGGTCAAAGCCTGCAACATTCTTAAAAAGATTTCGGCTGGAAAGTTAATATACATCAACCTCCTCTCGTCCCATTTTCGAAGATTTCTTACGCTCAAACCGATGACGATTCCGATGATTACGCAAATTATGGTCAGAATCGGGAGTAAGTTGGTACGAAGATACTCCTTGGCTTTAACTCTGGTTTGCGTCATTTCCGTGATTCCCACAGGAAAGCCTTTGTGGTACCTCCTGAAAATAAACATTTTCCTTTCTTAATCCATTCTAAATAAGATATTGCAATAATAAAATTAATCTTACCTCCCCCAAGGAAGGCTGAATGTCATGCTTTTTATCCTTTTTACTAACTTCATTTCGTAAGTAAAATTGTAGAATTAAATGTATTTAAACGTTCCAAACGTAACTTTTAATTTAAAAAAAAGAAAATGAAAAATATTCGAAAGGTTGTCGAATTATTCAAAATTCATTCCAAATTTAGTTCATTTGAATTGAGGAAGATGGCGCACTACGAGTGACGTGTAATTAATACATTTTGCGCCATCTGTTGGCAACATTTTTAAATATATGGTTACCTAATTTTAAAAAATAAATAAATAAATAATTAAGTTCTATTTTGCATAAAATCCTTGTAATTATGCATTAATTTTTATTTTAAAAAAAAACTTGCTTAATATTATTACAGTCTCCTGGAGGATACTTGTATCATTCTCATTCACACAATTCAATTGATCACGTTATATCCGGGTTAAGACGATCAAAAATAGCTTATATATTTCGCTTAATATAGGTTATATCCCAAATCTTATCTTGTTTCTACGTTTATTACTATGTTTTAATTTGTTTAACGATGCGATATAATGGCTTCTCAACCGACGTATCTATAAAAAGTTTATTTTTCTCGAAGAACAATGGGATAAATGGAGAAAAATAAATCTTTAATCCCTTTATCTCGGATTAAAATGTCGTTAGCCATATAAATCAATGAATAATTTGAATCCTGTTGATATATTTTTCTTCTTATAGATGTGAAAACATCCTCAGGAGTGATGATCCTCAGGACAATAAAGGATCTGTTTAATCATCCGAATCAATGATACAAGCTGTCCTTTCAGGATATTAAATCAATTCGAGGCCTTTTATTACTCCCAGGGATCGCAGTTTACTGATCGAGAAGTTCATTTCTAAATTATTTTAATGAATGACCCAAATAGAACAGGGGAAAGATTCAAAACCAAGTTATCGAGTGATGATTTTATCCCCGTGTAATCGATCGATCGACTGTAATCCACGATTATAAATCGATTATTAGTGACAATATGTCACACCGATCGTAACAGTTGATTCACAACAACTGCATATATGAGTCACGATCGATTGCCCTCATTATTTGTCATGAGTCACGTGTCTCCAGTGGCCACCTGGGTGAGCCTCCGAAATAGGTTATCCGTCAACAACGCTTTTTTAATGAAAAAATATGTCCACGCGTGCGATGACAATACGGCTTCTCCTACAGGCTTCCACCCCAACGAGCGGGGTCATCGTCACCGTGCTGACACTCTGACCTTCCAGACTTGGCGCCCGAGTCACACAATTGTTTTTTTTTCCCGCCATTTATTCTATTTTTTCAGGTCAGTGAGTGCCCGATCTATTTAAACCAATTCGTCTTCTTCAAATATTTGCCCTTTTGTTTGTAAAACGATAAACAGATACCCCCAAAACAATATTGCCCTACTTTTCAATACGTCCACCAAAATAGTTCCTGTTGAATCTACAAATGTTTCGCATTGTTTCCCCCCATTTTCTCATTTTAATGATATAATTTCTGAATGCTCCGATAACATATAAACGTTTTTCTTCGGTACGTGAGGCAGGAACAGTACTAGAAAAAGAGAAAAGATCATCCCCCTGTGTGTTCTATATAAGGTACGAAGTATATATCCCCCTCTATAAGACGTTTCCTATGCAAAAAAAAAAAAAAATGTATAAATTCTCGAGCACGTTCTTCTACTATTACGTCACTCTGACGTAATAGTAGAACTGTTCAACAATCAATAAAACTGTTCAACAATCAAACCATTTGTAATTGGTCAAGTTTTTTTTTCGTTTAAGTGACGTAACACATAAAAAAAGGCATTTTACGTAATAATTAAATCTCGCTTTTTCCGTAATTGAAACATTTTTGAAAAAATATATTGTTACGTAATTTCGACGCAACAGAAGAATATACAAAATTATATTTTCACGAAACGTGAGAAAATTTCACTTTATAAAATTTTATGTTTCAGAAACATGATATAAAAGAATACAGACAAGAACAGGAAAAACACATTACATATGCATTACTTTTATACTGTTCTATAGCCTATTCAACTATAGAAACGTGTTAAATAATAAATACATTTTTTAAAAATATTTATACTTAATAAATTTATTTAAATATATATGTAATTGTATAAAATTTTGAAATATAATTTATTTTATTTTAAAACACGTTTTATTTGCTTTTGTGTGATAAATAAACGAAACGTGTTTAAAGATATATTTACTTATTTGCTACGTAATCATTCTCCCTCCCCAGTATTAATTGAGTATTCTAAGAATTCGCAGAACAATCTACGAAAAAAATTAATAATGTTAATAAACTCTTCTCAATTTAAAAAAAAATTAAATTAATTTACAATTAAAGAAACTAAATTAAGTTTTTCGCGCGTATAAAAAGTTATTTCATTTTAAAAAAAAAGCAATTTATATTAATTGAAACGATTAAATTAACATAAAAATTAATTTCTCCGAGTCTTATCCCATTACATTATTACGTTTCGGTGACGTAACAATGAAAAAACTTTGTTTGACAGTTAAATTACTTGTAATTGGTCAACCCAGCTATAGAAATTATTTCGTTTGAATGACGTAACAAAAAGAAAAAATCCTACGTAATAATTAAAAAAAATTTTTTTAAAACTATTCTTACGTCATTTCAACGCAACGGAAATTGCACACATTTATAGAGAAACCGATCACTTTCGACTTGGTGACGTCACGAATGCTCTGTTGCGTCACAGCTATTTTATGACATCACGACAAATAGCAACCGGATGTCTTTCTAGTTTAGGCTGTTTTTTTTTTTTTCATTCTTTCTCTTATAAATTACATGTCTAAAGAGGAGCAAAGTTTTGCCTATCTTTCGCTTTCTATTGTTTTCTGTTACGCACGGGATGGAAAGAAAACAAAAATAAATATTTCTCTATTGCACGCTCGGGAACTTCTGTCCCCTGACGCATGACGTAATAGACGCATTACGTCCCAATCTTTCCCATCATCCCTTTCAAATTTACAATGCATGACCGACGATATCTCAAGATTAGTTTTCTGCGGTGTCTACGATCGGTCACTGACATTTTTTAGAGGTCAAATGTGGTTAAAGATGGTCTAAAAACTAAATTAGACCCCCAACACTCCAAAATGGCCGCTGTAATAATCCCTAGAATCAACAGAACGCACTCGATAATTTAATCCGAGGATTTATAAGTCTATTGTGCATCCATTTGATGGGGGAATACGTAAAGTTAGGGGGGGTTAAAATGTCACGTGATCGATTTCTAAAACTTTCTACTTAAATTAAACTAATGATTTTTGTAAACGTAATTTATTTTAATTAATCTCAAAATTGCAAGTAATTCATTATTTAATCTAAAATAAATCCTGTAAATTAATTAGCAGGGAAGATTGCCGAAAGTCACGCGCTCTCCTACTTAATTTCGAGCAATCGACACATTTCAAAATAAACCAATAAAAATGCCTGATTCAAAATCTATAACTTTCACTATCACTTTTCTTTATTGTTATTTACAATATTTAAAGAAAAATAAAATTTAATTCCCTCGATTGTGTATAACTCGATACGTAGACGTAACGAATCGTCAGATGTTGTACTAGTAACTGCAATCTGTTACTACTCTAATAACAGGTGGCGTACCTGCCAGGAGTCGGTCCACCCCCGCGCTGTCTGCTTTGGCGGCGAAGACAGTTGATCCACGAGTTTCGTTCGTGAGTGGATCAGCTCGTGGTAACACCTGACTGACTTTGGAAGCGGCAGTAACATGTAGTCGCTCTTCGTAACCCGGCGAAAACAACGTGCAACGTTAGTTTTTCTTCAGGTAAGTTCGTTAGTGATTTTTAGGATCCCTATACTTTTTTCTAATCCTTGCGCTTGTAGGGATCATTTTCTCTTATAAAATGATCCTTGGCACATTAATAAATTTCGGGTTAAGGTTTTTACAAGCGTGAAATTTACTAATTTTACATAAAATTGCGAAATTTGCGGTGTTTACGTAAGGTAGATGATAAGCTATTTCGTCGTCTTTTATCGTATTTTAGGTTCATAGGTTACTTTCCTGTACCCCTACGTTTTTAGTAAAATCTTATTCATTACCGGATACATCAGTACGGCAGCCAGTATGTTATTTAAAAAAAAAAAATAAAATAGAAATTTGTACGTGTGCTACTGTATGAAACCTTGAACAGAATTCTAATACGCACGTTTGCTGTGTTTTGTGTAACAAAGAATTATGCATGCTAATTAAACTTTCTTAAATCTCGATACGTGAACAGGCTTCTCCCAATCATACACGATGGGAGGAATTCGAAATTTGAGGCCCCGGAAATGAGGGGGGAGAGTTCGTTTTTGTCTGTCAAAAGCAGACAAAAATTTTTCCAATTTTGCCATCGGTTGTTTTCTCGACTAGTTTTTACACCCCGATATAGACGTAACAATAGCTCTATTCCGAGAAAAACTGATTATCATTGGGAGTGGTGACGTCAAAGAAATCCGGCTCGTTCTGACCTACTAGAATACAAGATACTTTGATTATTATTATTATTATCGCGCGTTTAATTACGACATACAAATTGAAGGTGACAAATAGACAATATGGCCACCGATTCTCGAAATTTAAATGTTCCATTTAACAAATAGCTTTAGTATTGTCTGTTAAAAGCCTATTGTTTGACCTCTATTGTCGAGGGTAGTTAGTTCTGGACGTCCATCGAGGGTCGTTCACTTCTAATATTGCTGGAACGGGGGCACTGGCCATTCTGTTCCGGATCCTCCCACGCGCTAAACTAGCCCTTGATTACTTTGTAGACATCTTAAAACAAGGCCCTTTTTTTGGTGTATATACAGTATATAACAATTGGCGATTCGCGATACTTTCTTCTGTCGAAACGTCGCGATGACATCATTCGTCTCGACACTCCTACGACACCTGGCTCGACTGGTTGGCCACGTGACTAGTAGGCTTTAGCACTACCCGTTACCTGTTGGAATTTTTGAGGTGATTAGTACCTTTCGTTTTCATTCATTGGTCGATCAGCTGATAGAAAACTCCTCGGAGCGTTAGATAACAGCAGTTATTAACAGGATACCTTTCTTCGTGCTACTATGTATCAGTTGTCTTATCTATTGTGATGTCAATTGTTAAGAATCTAAGAATTCCAAGCATTTTATTAAGTGAAGAAGCTTAAACTCCACAAAGTAAGCCTTTTTTTTTTGTCGTTTATACTCTACTAAAATTAACATTTTATATATCTTTTAAGGGTCTTTACTTCCCACAAGATTATCTTAAAGGTGTTTTCAAGTATATTTAAGGCTTCAATTCCTTCTTTTACTTCTAGTTTAACTCCTGTAACGTTTAAACCTTTATATCCTAAGATTTATACCTCATTGTTACGCGAATTATTTTTAGAAATAATTTTTGATAAAATTAATGTGTTAACCACTAAGGTTTCTTATTTAAGGAATGTAATTAGATAAAAGCAAATTGTTTTTCCCAGAAGGACAGGACATCAAAGTCCAGACAGCAAATTGAAATTCAACACTACAATCTACAATCGAAATCTATATCGGCTTACATACATACGAGAATAACTCAATTTTTTTTTAACGTAAAATTAGGGTTTATTCCCGAATTAATATACTAAAAACTCTTATCAGCAAGATTTAATTAATGTTTTCGTGTATAAAAACCTTACACGTGCCTTACTATGGTAGATATAAATAGGTTAACCTACAATTAAGAACCTTGAAATTAAATCACCACAGCTTCAAAGTTTAACACGTTTCGAGACATTCCAAAAAGAAAATAATCAACTCTTCGAACTTTAAACGTACTTATACGTCGGCTTTGGTCATTTTCCGATAACAAAAAGCCAGAAAAAATTTAAATTAACCAGCCGCCAATCAGAAGCGAATTTAATTTAAATTAACCAATGAGACGAAAAGGATTTAAAATTTTAAAATAGCCTCCGGCCAATGAAGTGATTTTTAAGATGGTGACGACAATTAACGATTCGGTTATTTTTAAAGGCCTATAGGTAAATTAGTGGAATGCGGTTTAATTAAAGGGAAGAGGCAATGACTCGTCAGCAATTAGTGTTTATCGCGAGGGGAGAGAGTGATTATTTCTATTTTGATCGTCTTTCCAGTTGGATGATCAGAATTGGACTCGAAGAATGTTTCGTTCCATAACTCAAGATTCAATCTGCTATTTCCTGTTGTTTTCGATTTTTTAAATGTTGTTTTGAATAATAAAACATGTTTTATATCTTTTATTTTTACATTAAAAAACGATTTCTCACGCTAATAAAAAAAAAAAAAAGTTGCGTGTTTAACCTGAAATTTATAAAGTTTTGCTTTCGAATATTCGTTGGCCAATAAAATGCGCTGATTTTGAATTTTCAAATAAACGAATCTCATTGGTTAATTTAAAAATTCTTCGTTAGTCCATAGTTTTTAAGTTTTTAGAGATTCTAGAAGAATCTAAAACCATAGCAGAGAATGAACTATATTATTCACAGTTAAATCATGTTTCAAAACCCGATCTATCTATAATTTGGCTCCATTGATCCTTGCTGTAGCAAAGTAATTATTTCCACAAGCACGATTATTATCCAAAGCGCGGCGTATCGCTTCGCGTTTTCGCGTTGCATCAGCGCTTCCGCCATGAATTTCTTGTTACGTACTGTATATTTCAGGAATTAGTAGTAATAATATAAAAATTAAATCTATTTTTGTGAAATATAATGCGAAGAGAGCAAAGTTAATCTTATAATTTGATTTACTCATAGTATATTCTAGCTAATTTGCATATCGCTCGGCGAATGCGGCGCGCCATCAAGAATCTGTATTGAAATCTGTAGCTTATTTTAATCGTTCCTAATAATAAAATATTTCTTCTAAATATTTATTATTTTGCTTTTTCAGATGACCATGGACAGAACGATTCCTCACGTGCGCGATATTTTCAACGGACCGGACATATGCCTTTATGATCACTCTCCTCAGACCAGGAGGAGGAAGAAGATCGAAGATCGATCCCCGGAAGAGGGAAGAAAACCTAGAAATACAAATCTTCCTTCTATTAATAATAAAAACTTGGAGGACTCAAACTGTAGTGAGTGGGAGGAAGAGCACAGCAAGATGCCATATTCGACTAAGACACTAACAGATCGGGACATACGGATTCTGGAACGTCACTTATCCATGAAGAAGACCATTCGCAAACAAATAAGTCGGAATCTGGCTCAGGCATTCATAGAGGACCCTCGGACTTCAGAAAACCAGAACGTGACCAGGAGTGCGGAGAAGAGCGTCACGCTAACTCGTGCCAAGATGGGCAAGTGCGAGCAGCCCTTTCTCTACATGCTGAGGGACCCACAGGAGGAAATCGATTCGGGCCACTCTAGTCCAATTCGCCACAGCGATTTCAGCGAAGACGAGGACGAAATCAAAAAATCCCAGAAGGAGTTACCAGAAAACAATAAATTCTCTTTTTGGAAGATGTTTTCGGGGAAGAAGAAACGATAGTTTGCGTTTTCTTTTTGAGATACACGAGCCGTTTTAAATGCATGTTTTATTTTTTGGTATGGGTTCGTCGCCCTCTTAATGTTGAGTTGTCGAATCAGCGTCACGTGATGCTCCAAAAATCGACTCTTGAGATCTCATAGCGACGTCTGTCGGAGACGTCTTGTACCCGTCCAAACTCGTTATGTGATGTTTTACACGCTCTGTACCCGTAGTGCGATTTCTCGGAATGAAATTTTTTTCGTGTGTGTGTGTTGTATTTTTCTAGTCGTAAATACTTAGCCTTGTTTCGCTAAGAGTTTTCTTGGTTGGGTGCAATCGCTATTTTTGTAGGATAATTTTTTTTCCCCAAATTAAAAACCATTTATTGAAAAAAAGAAACCAAACTTTCGCTCCACGTTTTAATTGTTTCGAGTTCATTTTATTTTTTCAGAAATACATTTTTGTGTAATGTAATTATGTGTTACGCTACGAAGAAAACCCAATTAGCGACGTTCCTGAGTAATTTTCGAACGTTGGCTCGACGTTCGTACTAGAAGAGAGGAAGGATAGAAAAAAAAATCAAAAGGTATCGTGGGAAAAATAATTATAGATAAACATTTTCCTATCGGAGATTCTGCCAACAATTACGAGAATCGAACGAAGTCGTTTCTTTGTTGGTCAGCAGAACGAGATTCGTCCCACAATGGATAATTACTCGGTAGTGAAAAAAAAATGGTAAATTAGATCAATGCACTCTATTTCTCATCTCGGACAATAGATGGCGGTAATTGTAATTAACCATCCGTGATTCGTGTTCAAAAATTTCTTAATTTCCATCGTACTAATGCGAGAGAAGTCAAAATTTGGAATTTACCAACGATAAATAATAATAATAAATTACATTATTAGTTTTAAATTGAAAATTAGTATCGTTTTTATCCTCCAGGTGGTGGTAATATGTTACGATCGACGAGGTTATGATAGAAATAAAATCTTTAAACAATTTTTTTATATCAATTGAACGAATTTAAAATTTTTCGATCGGTTGGAATAGTATAAATGTGACACGAGTAAATTTTTTTTCTCTACTTTCACTAACCGAACAGTACGGCTTTTCCGTCGATACTAGTGCCATCTGCCTGCGTACTCTCGAATCATGCGCCTAGCAATGCGAATGTCGAAATGGTAAATGAACCAATGACTCAGTTCGTTTCATATTACACGGAATCTCATTGGCTAACTGAGCAGCTTGCCATCTAAACCAGTCACGTATTTTGTACAAATTTCTTCGGTGGAGCTCGTGTTTAATTAAAATTGGCTGAGAAAAATAAAGTGTAAAACAATTTCTTGCGAAATTCCGCCCTTTGTGTGCAAATTCTTTATTTTTCTGGTGTCAACGTGTTCTCTACTTCAAAAATATGCTTGTGCATATATTTTCTACCAAATATTTTTAAAATACATAACGGAATTTTGATGCGATGTGGTTTAAAATTTGATTATTTTGAAAAATTAAACCCTTCAAACTCAGTTGTTGACCAAATTTACGAAGCCAGGAAAATGTTAGAATACAAAACATTCCATATAAGCAACAATAAAATATTTAATAAACAGTACAAATTCCTAAAATAAACTTTCGCCATTATTAATACAATGATCAAAATGGTTAAGGACAATCGTTTAGTCATTAATTTCATGTTTTATAATTAAATATTTAATCATTTTGATTATTATAATTAAATCGTAATTAATACTACAAATTACTCTTGCAGTAATTAATATTTTTTAAAAATGAATTTTAAATGTTTCTACATTGTTGCCAATTCAATGTTTTCGGCACTAAATCTAGTGTTTTTGATTAGTTGTTTAGTGTCCTGTTTGTTAAAAATTAGTTGTCTGAATTAACTAATAATAAAATTTGTATGTCAACATATAATTGAATGAAATCGCCCTGAGGTTGCCAAATTCCAGGTGTTTCCTGGGGGCACTTGAAATTTTCAGACTTATATATATATATATACAGTAGAGCTTCGATTATCCGAACCTCAATCATCCGAAAGAATTCCAGTCGGCAAATTTAAATTTTCGCCAGTGCTGTGGCGCTGCAATCTTTGGCTATGTCTTGGGCTACTCAAATATTTTGCGTTTTTGATACTAAATTAACTTCCGAAGTATAATTTTTTATTGTTTTTATATTTTTCAATATATTTATTTTGTTTGTACAAAATAAAAAAATAATTTTTAACGATACAATAGTCTTCGTTAGGCTTAAAATGGACGAAAATTGAACGCGAAGCGACACGCAACGGAGAAAAATGTCAAGATGGGATAAATTAATATATTGTTTCGTACATAATCGGTTATCCGAAACATCATCTTCCGAACAAACCCAGACCCCGATTGATTCGGATAATCGACGCTCTACTGTAAATATTTTTTTGTGTTTAACTTTTGGGGTGCATATTAAAACAGAATGAAGAATAGGCGACAACATTTTGATGTTGCCGAAAGTAAAAACCATTAAATCTGTAAATGTTTATTTCTGGAACGGAAAACTCTCGTAATAACATCTTCTGGCGGGAAAACTGACAGCGACAGGTTAATAGAGAGGTTGCGGCCGACATTTTCAACGCCATTGTCAAACTTCTAGGCTCTCAGGAAGGCGGCGCTGAACGTCCGACGTACGCGTTGAAAACGTCGGCCGCAACCTCTCTATTATAAAATGAGGACATTTTGTATTAATGCTATTGTGTACAGAAAACATATTTATTCTTAATATTACCACATTTAATTTGCTTTCTAAGTAAAGAAAATATGGCGCTTTTTAATTTAAAAAATTCTTTCATTCGGTTAGTAATAGTTGGCAACACTGTTGGTAGCATTACTTCCATCACGTGGTTTGTCAAGTTCGTGTTTACGTTTACTGTTTAACGATTGATAGATGGAGGAGAAAACGTTCGATTAGTGACACGTTACGTTTCGTTTTTAACGCGAAAATGAACTTGACGAATGTGATAACGTGTATTTTTCTTCTATGTCATTTGTTTTTTGCGTGTAATTGCATCGAACCAGTGTCTACCGTCGGTTATTTGAGTGCCGCCGTTGGAGTGTCAAGTATTTATGCTGGTTGGAACTTTCTTAAATGCAATATATACGAATGTTGCAGTAAAGAGTGGATAAAACCCAATTTCTTAAGTAAGTTATGCTTTTTAAATTAATCAGAGTATCCATTTGTATTAATTATTGTTACCTTATGTACAGGGTGGCTATACCCTTTATAAATTGTTTCCTTTCTCCATGTTTTCTGGCCATCATCATCATCCAGGATGGAAGGTGATGGCCAGAAAACATGGAGAAAGGAGTAATTGTTGTATGGAGTTTGAATATTCTCTTTCGTGTAAATGTCAAATACTTATTTTTGAGGAAACACCGTATTGGATTCGCATCTTACCTGCACCTACTGAGTTTCTTAGTAACCTTTAACTGAAGTATGGTGAGTATGTCTGGGCCACTTTTCTATTTAACCGTCCATACGCATTATTCCCAAATGCCGATTATGTTTGTCGAAGAATTATGGTAAATGTTTAAATGAGAGCTTTAATGTGATCGGTGGCAGAAATGAAGGAAGTACCGTGGGGACTTAAATTTTAATTCTTTTTTTGTGTCGACGGGTTTATTCATTTGAACTTTAAAAGTCGGTCTGTCGAACCATCTGCGGTATGATTGCCGCTCGTTAATAAAAGGTAGCAATTGTCCTTTACCCGAACGGGTCCGGTGCGACCGTAAAGGTCAAATTTTGGGGTGGTGCAAAGCCTTTTCGGAATGCAGAAGGCTTTATGCCATCCCAAAATTTGACCTGCCGCAATAAACTTTATTTGATTGATTAGAAGCCGTAGAATAGGGGAGAAACCATTTTAATTATTGTCGGTTAAAATCCGCGACTTAAAAATGGAGGCCGGCCCACATCTAGAATTGCAAGTAAATTGCCTGCTTTGAAATATGAAATTTCTGTTTCGTGTTATAATCGAAATGATGTCGGACAAAGAAAATTTTATATTCACTCCCAATTGTAATATTACAAAAATATCTGTTATTATAGAAGACAATTTACAATATAAGATATTGATATTATTTGCCAAGTAATTGTTGCGTATGAAGTGGAATTATATATTGAAATAGTTTTAGAAATTATATTTGGTACAATTAATTAAATTACTGGAACAAAGAACAAGTATTATCATGTTTTAAACAAAAGTTGTTTTGATACCAAAACCCATTTATTTAGAATGGTTTTGGTAATGAAACATGTAGCTGTGTTATAGTTAATTGCTTTTATCTCCTATTGTAATGAATTATTTTAAAATTTATTATAAATGTAAACTTTTATATCATTTAAGAAAATTACTAATGATGAAAGAGATGACTACTAATGGAACACACAAAAGTAATTTTTAGACATTAAAAACTCTGCTAAACACAAACTGTGAAATCTGAATGCATTTGACAGTTGAATTCATTAACTTTGTGCGTCCACTTTATATGGGTCTTTATCTAACGTTAGAGAGGTTGTGGCCGACGTTTTCAATGCGAAAACGTGTATGTTAGACGTTCAGTGCTGCCTTCTTGTAAGTCTAGAAGTTTGATAATGGCATTTGGAACATCGAGCATGATTCCGCCGACGTTCCAAATACCGTTGTCAAACTTCTAGGCTTACAGGAAGGCGGCGCTGAATGTCCGACGTAAACGTTTCTGTGTTGAAAACGTTGGCCGCAATCTCTGTTATCAACTTTGTCATAAGTTTTCATGGAGGATCATTAATTTTGAAATAAATTTAATATATAATTGTACTCATTGATAAGTTTAAAAATTGTTTTAAAATTAAAAGAAACAGTTTATTTTAATAGAAACTCAATTGTTTTCTATTAAATGAACCAAAAAAAAGGTTAATTGAACTAAATGTAACTTAGAACAAAACTGAAAAGTTTAAGATGGGAACAAAAAATTTGTCCAAGGGTTGGAAGGAGACTGTATCTGTGTGTTTCTTTTGTACTAACATTATTTAATAAAATAATACAATTAAATATATATCAGGGTTGACTGATAAATAGGCTAAGATATTCTATCACAATATTCTTCAAAGTGTTGATATAGAAAAATGTGACCCCTGTCATTTTGTGGCTGCTAGTGTTGAGTCTGTATCTACAAAGTCTTAAGTTCCATCATTGTGTAGCAGTTGAATTGAACACAATCTTCATTCCGTACAAAGCAGCGATTGGTGATTGAATTTTCAGCATTAGGATACTTGCAAAGAAAGAAACAATCTATTTAGTAAAATATTGTGAAACTCAAGACATTAAACTTCATAGTTAAACTGGAAAGAACTAACTTTCTCGTGAGTGTGATTTTGTGTTATGCACACACAATTTAAGATGCTTAAGAGCTCAAAGTTACGGTCGACTCTTCATTCCCCTCACGGCACGAGTTAATATCATTGGACTTCCGATTGTCCCCAAAATTAAAGGCATCGTTGAAAGATGGGTGACAAAGTTAGCTGCCATACAAATGCAGACGTGCACAGAATACAAAAATCGAATATTTAGAATAATGCAAGACTATAAATGGTCGTTGATAAATTTAGATTTATTTTCAATCAGTTTGACATTTAAGTTAAATGAATTTGCTGATTTAAAATTGATTGTTTGATACATATACTTGGACGCATGATTGGTTATTATTGAGGCATTGCCTCTTTGGAAAGAAAAACAGAAGAGTTGTAAAATATTTTTTTTAAATGTCAAGAAATAACCTTGTTAAATTATTTTATTTTTTGCAGATTTCATACAATATGAAATTTTCTTTTGCAGACATGAGCAATGCATTCAATTCCATGCTACACGGACAGCCCCTGGTAAAGCAGGTGGTCCTTCCGTCCCTGAATGGCCACTTCAAGAACAGGGATCCGAAGAAGGCGCTGGTCCTGTCCTTCCACGGCTGGGCAGGCACGGGGAAAAATTTTGTCAGCAAACTGGTGGCAGAGAATCTGTTCACCAAGGGAATGAAGAGTGGTTACGTTCATTTGTTCATAGCCACCAAACACTTTCCATTTCCTAAGAAACTAGACCAGTACAAGGTAAGTTTCGTACCATAAACGTGATATTGAATGTTGTTCTAACAAGGATGATTATGACATGGTCCTTAGAAATTCTGATAGAAACATTGATTTGAACTTTTATTGAACAAAGTGTGCTTTTTAACTTGTATGACTAATATAAAATACAGATCTTTCCACAATCTAGTAAACAAGTGGAAATCATTGTATATCTTTACCGTAATATCGGTAGTTCGTTACAAACACATTATTTGGAAATCAAGATTTTACCAGTTCTAGAATCATGTAAATGTTGCTAAGTAATATGTACTGAATTCATTCTAATAAAAAGTACTATAAATTTTTTGTCTTGCAGCTGCACTGTTAGAATTAATGACATATAAAAGTAGTGCATTGAAATTTGTAACAGTTTGTCTCTTGATGAAAGTACTGTGCATTTATTATAGTTCATATACATTTCTGTTCTAGCTACTGGTGGTCTATGTTTGGGTTTCACTTGTATGGTAGGTACCGTACGTGTCAAAATCGGAACAGGTATAGGCCAAAATCACTATAACCTAACAGCAAATATCACCTTTTCCACAGATTTCAAATTATACAGACTTGGAGTCGCTATTGTAGGTGCAAATTGTTCAATGGTACAAATGCAAGGAGCGTGTTCAATTATTGTAGCTTTGCCAAATGTGATGATATGGGACATAACTGGCATTGCAATTGGTGCAAAACACAGACTCAATCTTGATTTCTGTTGTTGCTGCTGCTGCACCAATTTCCAGAAGTGTGCAAATGCTGCATTAAAGCATTTCAGTTATCTATGATTTGTACTTTATCGCCATAAAATTTCAGGTTATATTACAAAGGTAATCCGAAAAGTAAGGTCTCTTATTTTTTTAGAAATACAAAGAAATGTTTATTTTCAATAATGTTTACATCATTTAAAGCTTGACCATTTATATATTTTTCTACATAATTCCATTTTGGTCGATGCATTTTTGTAGGCGCTGTGACAGCTTTTGTATGCCCATGTCATGTTTATCCAATTGAAATTCGTTGCCAATTGATGGAAGTCTACGGCGAGTCGAGCATGGATGTTAAAATATCCACAAGTGGAGGGGAGTTTGCAGCTGGTCGTACTGAAATTCACAATGAAGAAAGACCATCAATTTCTGACGAGACAGTTACAAAAGTTGAGCAAACCCTTCATAAAAATCAGTAGATCACTCTAGATGATCTCAGCATTTTGGTTCCTGGGTTTTCCCCGAAGCATTATTCATAGGATTTTAACGGAAAAGTTTCAATATCAGGTGGTGTGTGCAAGATGGGTCCCATGACATGGCAGTGAGTTGGTATGACATGGGCATACAAAAACTGTCGCAGCACCTACAAAAATGCACAGACCGAAATAGCAATTATGTAGAAAAATAGATAAATGTTCAAGCTTTAAAATGATGTAAACAATATTGAAAATAAATTTTTCTTTGTATTTCTAAAAAAATAGGAGACCTTTTGGGATTACTCTCGTATATAGAATTAAAATTAGGAAGTGATTTCAAAAAGTAGTTTTCAGAAAATGCAAAAGTATCTCACTGGCATATGTTTTTGTTTTTTATTTTTGCATAGCAAGAACTACAGAAGAAGATAGAGAATTCTGTAAAGTCATGCCAGACCTCACTGTTCATTTTCGACGAGATGGACAAGATGCCGCCTGGACTGATTGATGCCCTGAAACCCTACATCGACTACTACCACGATGTGGATGGCGTAAATTATAACAGGGCAATTTATATTTTTCTGAGGTGTGTTTAATTTTTTTTCATGGGAAAAAAGGGTGGAATTTTCAATGCAATCTGTCAGTAATTGTTGTGCAGTATACAGAAACAATTTTGTGGCAAAATACCTTACATTCCTGGAACTTACAGAATAATTGCCAAATCTTGTTGTTAGTTTTCTTGAGTAATTTTTACCATAAAAGGCTTTCTCTATGAATAAATTGCCTTTCCAGCACATCTTTGAAGCAAATTGTTCCAAATTTTCTTGGAAAAATTTCCCTCAAATGCTCTCAATGGCAAAAATGAGTTTCTAGTAATGAAATTTTGAAGATTGCTGAAGTTATTTATTTTGTTTACAGAATTTCTATAAAAATTTCTTACATTTTCAGTAATATGGGCAGCAAGGCAATTAACAACTTGATGTATAAATTTTGGAAGGATGGAAAAGACAGGAATGACATCACCATGAAAGACATGGAACCTCTTATCATCAAAGGTGTTTTCAATGAAGAAGGTAAGTTTTTGTCTTTGAGTTTTCAAAGTTGCTTCATTGATAAATATTGTTATGATACTGTTGTACAACAGGTGGCTTTTACAAGAGCGAAATCATCGAGAGGCATCTGATCGACGCCCACGTTCCCTTCCTTCCCCTAGAAAAGAATCACGTGAAGATGTGCATCAGGGACGACCTGGTGTCGAAGGGCCTGGAAGTCGATCCCGAATTTGTGGACCGTGTGGCGGACGAACTGGACTACTATCCGGAAGAGGCGAAGATCTTCTCTGTGTCGGGGTGCAAGAGGATAAGTCAGAAGGTCGACGTGATGAAGGCGGATGAATTTTGATCGTCCAAATTCAAACCAATTTTGACTTATTTAAGAAATTTAATTCTTTCAAAAATGGCACATGGTTTCTCCTAAGAAAGAATTCCCACAAATCTATGTAAAGAAATTGCTTCTTACACCAGTGTTTTTTTGTTAAAGAAAAATACCCAACTGATATGAACACATCTTTTACTAAACTGTTAAACGTAAATGCACGTGTTATCATAATTTGAAATTTTGTGTGAAATTAATCGTGTTGCAGCTCAGAAAATCAAAGTGGCACATCTTCGAATTAATTAGTCGTAGAATTACTGCAAAACAAAAATTGTATGTATGTAAAAATCACGAGTAGAGACTATAATTTCCATAAAGTTTACATTTCGACCATTGAATTCAACAGATTTGTCTCTCTAATTTGCAGGAAATGTTTTCACGTGAGACTTGCTTCACACATCTCAATTGATCTCGATTGACAAACTAACCTGCCAAGGTTCCACACAATCACGGGCAATGAGTACCTTGCAGTTCTGGGGGACTCCCCAAAAGAAAGCTTTCTAAAACTTTTTTACATCACTGTCTTTTGATGTGTAAAGTGGAAACAAGCCTTATTTTATTAGTAGTAAAGATTTTTACAAAAAATGCTCTGCCAAGCAGCCAGAAGATCCCCAATATCATGAATCGACTACCACGTAAACAGTGAAAAAAACTTATCCAACTGTATCTATTTTAATACAAATTAAGATGTCTGGAAATAAATATAATTAATTATAAAATGTTGTTCCATTTATTTGTTCCTGTGCAGTATAAATTAATCCAAAAAACATTTGTTTCCCGTTTTTTCTACATGTATCAATGCCTTTAAACTATTGCTAGCAAAGTGTGAAATGTGTAGTGTTATTGAATCATTTGCTTATAGAACAAAAAGGTTTTCGACTAATTAAAGGACAGAAAACAAAATTCTAAATTCTCGCTCTAGGTGTGTAATTTGCTACTTTTTAATCCGAAGTGTGTCGATCCGTATAAAATTACTCTTACATATTCTATCTCCAGTTTCCGACAACAGATGGCAATATATGCCAGGCTAAAACTACAATCGAAACAGATCGATCGTATTTGCTCTTCGACCGCCATATTTGTTAGTCCTGTCGAATGATCAAACTTCGCCTAGCGCAGTCAAGAAGTTTTTAATTTAAAAACTTTACCCGAGAAGAAGCCTTATCCATTTACGATTCGTTCCCAGACTTTGTCATTTAAAAGTCGATTTTCGTAAATTATATAAAAATGGGGACGTAAATTTACGTACAATCAATCCGGGGTGAAGGCTGATATCGTTCGGCAATTGAGTAACAATGTAAACACCAGTGTAGTGTAATGGCGCGTGCTGTAAACAATGACCTCCGAAGGCAAGAATACTGGTGACGAAGAACAATGTTAATATAATGGAAATCTTTATCCCTCGATATACTATGATTTAAACATCAAGAGCTGCCTATTTTAATTACGGAAAAATAATAATTATATACTGTCCTCTCCTGTCTTTCCCTTGTATATTTGGAAACAATACAACAAAATTTACCTGAGTGTAATGCATATACCATACAAATCTATTGGAAATTTGGCTAAACAAAAAAATGAGTTAAGAGTCTATTCATTTCTATAATTGATGAAAACACAAGAAATATAACGATGATTATTGATTATTGTGTTTAAAGAAAGATGTAAAGACTATAATTAACATTCACCTTAAGTTCAATGATATTTGGTAGGATTTCTTATGGCAAACACTGCGTAGATTTTCAATCATACCCGATTATACAAACTGACGGGCCTAACATTTAAATAAAATTTTACTAGATTTGCAAAAATTGGAACTTAAACTATAAAACAACAAATAATACAACAGAAAAGAGGTCATTTAGATTATAAATACTACATTCATCGATCGATTCGGGGATATTTTTACCGTAACGAGACAGATGTTACGGCAAAAATAACACAAGAGTTGTCAGCTTACCTCCAATTAACTGGGCAAATTTGACAAGCAAAAACACAATGCCATCTCTGTTTATAGGTATGTTAATACGTAAACGCGTCACACTACTTTCGCTTCTATTAGATTAACGTAAGAATAATTACTTCTAGATAAAACTTTGGACGGTTTGCACTAATTTTAACTTAACTCGACACCTTTTAAAATATTCTAACGTAACTCCAATCAGTTTTCCCACACTTTTCCAAGCTATTAATCACGCCAGTGTCGACACTTTGCGGGTTTCGCCCCCGGGTAACTTTACCGAAGTCGATTTATGGTTATTAACTTTCCGCCACACGTGTTATTTAGCTTAAGGTTATTTTAGAAATTTTCCACTCGGAAGACCCCTCTCGAAATGATGAAGCGAAACGACAACTTTCTGTCTGCTTATTTTTTTGATTTTTAATCAGACTTGTATTAATTCAAGTTTAAAACACAAGTTTCTAGTGTAGTAAGGTTGAATTAATACTTTAAAAATTGGCAATTCTGAGAGGAAATTTCACTTCTAAGCGAGTACAAACTTGTGTGTTCTGGCACAGAATGGTTTTTCGTGGTATACTGCTAAAATATATTAATTTTGTGCATCTGTAAGGGTATTAATGTTTCGTAAAGTAAATATTCTGCATCTAATCCGTTTTCGTAAAGTATTAATCCGGATTATGTTCCGTATTACGTGTTATTTTTCGCTCGAAGAGTTCGGAAAATGCTGTTTGCCGACAGTTATAGATCAAATTTTTGAAAGAACCAATAACCCGATATTACTCGAGATTGAAATCCTGTTCGACCGGAAACTAAGCTCTCTTTTCGATATTTGGAAAGGCGAATTTTCCTTTTTTCTCCCCGTTCTCTGCCAGTTTATAATTTGGTCATCTTAACTTCCATTAACTTCTTATTGATTGTTTAAACAATAATGCGCTGGTAAAATTGATAAAGTTTCTGTGTAAACGTACGACTTTTTCGTTTGTCTCCACCCGAAATTTATATCAAACAAAGAGAATTTAACGATTGGAAGGAAGTAGTGTCGTAAAAATCGTGTGAATTGCCCCAGCGACCACTCCTATTCATTAGGGAGAAGGCTGGTCAATTACTGTAAGTTCGATATCTATCATTAGTGGGCCTCTCCCAGTGTTTCTGAACGGTGTAGAGCGATAAAAACAGCCAGTTTAGAAATCTTCAAAACATTTTTATTTATTGGGCAGTACTTTTACATGTAACTAAGGCGACTAAAAGCGATAATGAATGGGCTTGAAACGTTGCTATAGTAATTTTCTATAAAACAATTTTCCATTTAAACGACGGACATTTTCTTCTTCTGCTATATAACAAGTAGCTTAAAAATTTCAAGTACGTGGACAGAATCTATTTAACTAAAAGTTAGCGTGGCAGACAGTTCTTTGGAAGTTTAATCGACGGAACCTGTTGTAATGATGGATCACGTATAAACAAACAAGAATTTCCTTTCTTAAATGGAACGTATACCCGTTTGTGGTTCTTTAATATCACTTTGGGGAGGGGGACTTTACGCTTCCTTTTTCGTCGTTAAACATTTCTTTGATTTGCTAAAAATTATTTTAAAATACTGATATGATGGAAGAGAGTGATTCCTGCCTTCTGATGTTTTAGTTGTTTCCATTTAACGAAGTAGTCTACGGTGTCTTGGCCCATCCTAAACTGCTTAAGAGTTGGTGTGGAGCGGGTTTACAATGTCTTAGTTTAACTTGATAATGGCAGTCCATAAAACTTAGTTTTCTACAAGTTAATTTGTTACACAATTAAATTAACTTGCACAGCATTTAATGGGGCCATCTCACGCCCATTAACTATCCAAAAAGGAGAAGCGGTGTAGGTAAAATGCTTCCGCTTATCCAATATTCAGTTTTAAAATTTGACAATCTAACAAGACAACGTTTTACAGAGTTATTTTGTTAATATATATTAGTCATATAATTTAAATTTACCTTTACAAAAATTCTAACTCAGATGGCCCCCTCACAATTTCAATTCTAAGACACATATCTGAAAGAAAATATTACGCCATTAGATTTCAACAATACAAATTCAAATTCTTCAATACTATTTTGTAATGTAACCATGCACTTCTGCTCTAAACAAATGCAGATAACTAGTACTAACAATATGCAATGAAATGACTTTTTTGTAGTAATAATTCTCTTGTTGATTTGTGATATGATTAACAATTTACAATTATTATTATACAAACATACATTCTGATGAAAACACAAATATCACAGTTGGAAAAATAAGTAACTATGCATTGATAAAATTTCAATGAGATGAAATAGAATTTGATGGATTCTAAATCTAAATAAAAGAAAATAAAAAAAGGAAGTTTTACTTTTAAATTACTCTGTCATCAAAATAATTCTGTTTTAAAACTATTATTTCCATTGATTAGTATGGAAATAACAAAAAAATATCTAACTATAGAATGTCAAAAATATCAAATATGGAAGGTGTATACATCTGCCCAACTAATTGCTCCAATTATTGCAATTTTAAGCAACCATTGGTTAACATACTTAACTATATTTATGTGAAATAAATCTATAATAATAATAATAATAATATTAATAAGCCGTATTAAACTGGCAGTTGTGCATTTTTTTTCTTTTGTATGATTAACAAAACATAAGATATTAACATGAATTTTGTGTTACAGCAATTTTTATCTGGAACTAGAGCATCCTGCAAATCTATCTTGCGATCTTTTACCATTTTAACAAACTTATTGAGGGTGGAAAACCTTATTCTTACTACTAAAGCAGATAAAGTTTAGTCTAATCAAGTATAATTCAATTTACAAAAACAATTTAACAGAATTATTGACATCTATAACTATATACAAAAGAAATGCACATTCTATAGTTAAATTACATGGCATCATCTACACAGAATTTCGTGTAGAAACAAATAATAATAATAAAAATTGACATAAATAACAAGAAAAATTTTGAATCTCATTTGTAAACATTCTTTACAGTATTATCATTCATTTATAACATTTTTTTTTTATTATAAACTTGCTGTAGGGCTTGAACTGGATGTGGATGTGGCCGAAGTAACTTCATTAAGAAATCATTCAAATCTCTGCAGATATGGAAATTCATCATAATCTCTCTCCCTAGAGGGGGAAAAACCACAAAAATATATCTTATCTAGTAAAAATATCATAATGTAATGAATATCTTACTATTAATAGTGATTTAATAGGCGAGTTTCAAGTTCATACATAATGCAAAACTTTAAAAATATTTAAAAAAAAAAATACATGTGAAGTTTGAAAAAGTTAGAATGACACATCATTTAAAATTAAGTGAAAATTAGATTCTGTTTCCAGGAATTTTTCTAAGTAATAAATTTAGTGTGTGAAAATATTTGGGATTAGTTTCGACATTGATATTAAAATTTAGAAAATTGAACCTTTACATATAATGTAATAATTGGAAAAAATCCTCCATTAATTGGGTGTATAGTTTAAGGAGAATGTGAAAAGTACAGTACATTGTACATGATAAGGAGAATGGAAATAAAGGCATTGTCTATGTGGACTTTTTAGTAGTATTAGTGGTATACAAGATAGTTTTACTAGTACAGTGGAACCTCGGTATACGACCTTAATCCGTTCCTGGTGTTTGGACTTATACCAAATAGGACGTATACCAAACCAACCTTTTCCATAAGAAGTAATGTAAAAATGATTAATCCATTCTCATGTAAAAA